GGAAGTGGCGCTGTGGCTCAAGTGGTAGAGCGCTAGCCTTGAGCTGAAGAGCTGAGGGACAGCGCCCAGGCCCAGAATTCAGGCCCCACTACCAGACCCAAAAAAAATAAAATAATCCAAGACCAAAAACAAAATCAGGTGGTTGCAAGCCAGTCTGGTGTCTCTGTTTTACCCAGTGTCCATGCTGTGCATACCGTAGCTTGAACTTTATCATCGGGACTACTGGAATCCTTGGCAGCAACCTCTGGCTACACTGTGCCATCTAACCTGAGCCCAACTTCCTACTGCATTTGTTGCTGAATTCTGCTATTCTGTCCTACCACCATCAGAACCTGACCGCCCAGATCAGTATATAGCCAGAGAAGCTGGATGGTCATCTATTGTAGCTTATAGTCAGTGGACTACAGTGAGCTGGATATAGTGGCTCATACCTATGATCCCAGCTCGTCAGGAGGTGGACATCAGGATGATTGTTAGCAAGACCCCATCTCAATCAGTAAGCTGAGCTAGGTGTGGTAGACCTCTCATCCCCACTACTTGGCCAACCTGGGCAAAAATGCAAGAACCTATTAAAATAACTAGCTGGGTACCAGTGGCTACTCGTGTAATACTAGCTCTTGGAAAGCTGAGAATAAGAAGATTGCAGTTTTCAGCCAGCTCAGGCAGAAACATTCACAAGACCCCCTTTTCAGCTCCATGGCTGGGTGCAGTAGCATGCACATCATCCTAAGCTAGGTAGGAGCTAAGATTGGGAGAACCAGGGTTCCAGGCCAGGCAGAAAAGGAGGTAAGCTGGATGCCTAACATACAACTGTCACAAAGCCTGAAATAGGGGGATTGTGGTTCACGTGTGGTCTGGGGCAGGAAATAAGATCCCATCTCAAAAATAATGAAAGCAGGGCTGGAGAGATGACTCAAGGAGTCACATACCTGCCTAACAAGGGTAAAGTCCCGAGTTCAAATCCTAGTACCACTAGAAACAAAGTAGAATACCCGATTGATACCTAACCCTTTAATGACCGTCTCCCAACCTCCCGTGTTGTCTGTCAGACTCATGTTCTTGAGGAATTGCCAAGCCAAGCAGGGGAAGGAATGTTAAGAGGAGACTTGAGGTCATTTTATTTATTTGGTCAGTATTTACCCTCTTCAGAGAACTGTATTAGGAGCTGAGTTGGGAAGATGAGTATAATTCAAGCCATAAGTATAGTTAAAAACAAAGTGGAACCATTAATTCCTAAGGAGATTCTGAAAAGCCTTTGTAGAGAAGAGGTGCTTAAGCTACGTCCTGTAGGAGGTGTTTTTTCTGAATATTGAAGTGTGTATTTGTAATGAGGGCCCAAAGTCCAATGAGATAGAAGCAGAGTATGTCTGGTGAACCATGGAGATATGCAAACAAGACTCTGTAGTTGGAAGCAGTAGGAAACAGTTTTGGTAAAGGCCGGAATGCAGAAGTGATTGTGTGTCACGTAGAGGAACTTGTATATCATTCCAGGGTAAAGGACAGATGCCAAAGGTTTTTGAGCTAAGAAAAAAATTGAGTTAATGAAATGTCTCCACAGACATGGTTGATTGTAATATCTGGGACTGCTTGGAAAATTAAACTTTTAAACACCTTAGAAATGTTTAACTTCAGCTGGGTTTTGCTCTCATTGAAGCACTACTTTCAAATGGCATCATTTCAGCAAAGACAGTAATACTACAAATAAAAGGATAATGTCTCCCTCAGATTTAAGCTTCTGAACTGAGAAGCTGACTTCTTTTTATTCGGTTTCAGGATCACCATCCATCTCAGCAAGGCCAAGGTGGGTTACATGGAATCTACCTTAGGGCTTTCTGCACAGGACTCGATTCAGTTTTGCAGCCCTATCGCCAAGCACTGCTTGATTTGGAGCAAGAGGTGAGAAAGAGGAGATACAGGAAGTAATACTTCTTCTAAGACTGCAAATTCGAGCATGTCTTCAATCTCACATAGCCTTTGATGAGGACAGCTGGTTAAGAATGAGTTATTTTCTATAAGGCTGGTACACACAGGGTCTGTGTGATTGCCCGAGCCTTGACCCACATGCATAGGTCATGGCAAAGAGCCTTTGCAGGGCTGGAACTGTGGCTTAGTGGTAGAGTGCTTGCATGGATTCCTTGGTTCGATTCCTCAGTACCACATAAACAGAAAAAAGCCAGAAGTGGCGCCGTGGCTCAAGTGTTAAGAGTGCTAGCCTTGAGCAAGCAGCTCAGGGACAGTGCCCAGACCCTGACAGTTCAAGCCCCAGGACTGGCAAAAAAAAAAGTCTTTGCCTTTGGTTTCTTTGTCATCTAGAAATCATAAATTGAACTCTGTAGATCCTAAAACTCATCCTTGTCAGTCTCAGTTTTCATACATCCACTTGCTGCTTTTGTGTTTCATTGCAGTTCCTGGCTGACCCTCATCTCCCCATATCACACGTCAATTACTCTTTGGATCAGGTATGCTCTCCCAATAACAAAATGCCTTGGAATCTGTTGTTGTGGTTAGAGCAGTTTTGTCCAGAATTTTTTTGCAATTTATATGCTTTGTTAGGTGCTTAGAGTTCCCATTTAGTTCATGCCTGATGTCTCCAGAGAATGCTGTCCTGTGACTTCAATATTGACAATTACACCAGCCTCTGAAATAGAATCTCCTTCCGGCTGCTACCTTCCAGTCTGCAGCTAACCTAGTCATCAGATTGTATTAGCATTCTAAACCTCCACTGTCCTATTGCATTGTTCAAAAGCAAAGCATTTCATGAGTTTTCTCCTGCGTTTGGTTACATACGTTTTATCTCTGCTTTGCAGTTCCAGCTCCTTTTTCCTTCTGTGACAGTTGTAGTAGAGCAAATTAAGAGTCAAAAGGTAAGAAGTTCCCTTTTTTTGAAATGTTAATGGTGTTGCCTTACATTTTTTTTAGTTTTTTTTGGGGGGTCCGGTCGTGGGGCCTGAACTCTGGGCCTGGGCGCTGTCCCTCAGCTCTTCAGCTCAAGGCTAGCACTCTTGAGCCACAGCGCCACTTCCGGCTTTTTTCTTTTTGCTTATGTGGTGCTGAGGAATCGAACCCAGGGCCTCAGGCAAGCAAGGCAAGTGCTCTACCACTGAGCCACCTTCTCAGCCCCACCTTACATTTTTTTTTTAAAGAGTCTTATTTTTAGCATTCTTTCAACATTCACATGTTTATGCCTAGTGACAGGAGTGCAAAAACAAGATATTGTGCTTTCTCTAAATACCTTGTTCAGAAAGGAGAGGTAATATTAATAGATGCACTCAGAAAATATTGCCGAGGTAGGATTGAATACTGTTTGTTAAGGAGAGCAGTTTGTAGTAAAAGTTTAAATTGATAAGAATCTTGAAGAGAAGCAGAAAGTTAATGATTCTTAGAAAAAAGGTAGAGAGTTTATGGGTAAGGTGCTGAGAAAAAATGTAGATGGTTTATGGGTGAGGTGCTGGCAGTTTTCTGAGAATTAGGAAGTCACCGGATGAAACTCAGAAGATTATTAAATATGCTTGTTGACACAAATTTTCATAGTCCCTAATATCAGATTATCTTCTGAGCAGTGAATAAATACTTTAAGATTCACATAAGACAAAGAATCTGCTCTACAGAGAGTTGATCCATATTGGACCAAATGGACAGATGGATTCAACATGCTCAGCTCAGTTCTCCATGTTTTAAGCTCTTCTATTGTGGCTTAGCTTATTATGATATTAACCCTGATCCGTATAAACAGTGGCTAAGCACCTAGTTTGTCACACTGCCACCTTTTAAACATTCTGCTATGTTTGTTATGCAGAAGCAGCAGTAAAGAGGTGCTTTGTTGCCTCAGAGCTGATTCCTCTCATTGCACTACCGTGTCCAGCTTTCAGTGTGCACTAATGCTTTCCATAGATAATTATACTCAGTCCTCCAGCAAATTAAATGTTAGAAATGTTAAGGAATGTGCCCAGTGTCATGCAGGTGCATGTCAACGGTGGGCACAGACCCAGGTCTGACCCCAGAGAAGGTGCTCTTAACTACTATATTAATCTACCTCCCACTATGGGAGAGGAATTGGGGCACAGGTTAGGGCACAGGGTTCTACAGCTAGCTGTGCATTTCAGTTGACTTTCAGCTTTCATTGGCTAAAGGAAGGAAGTGGAAAATTAAGGCATTACAGATGGGCAAGCCTTCCTTCCTGTAGCCACCTTCCTGAGGGTGGGTGGGGACTGACTATAGACAGGCACAAAGGGATTGCTTTCCGTAGTGTGGGATATTGTAAACCTGGATTATGGTGTTTGTCACACAATGCTATAAATTTGCTAAAAGTTGTTAAGTAACACACGTAAGATACATGATTTTAAGATACATAAATTATACCACAAAGTGATTAGTTGAAAGAAAAAAAAAAGGACATGGAGACAGTGATTTACCTCTTATAAGTAATCTTTGCTGGGCCTTGGCTTTGGGATTCCAACTCTACATGGCTGATTTCTTCAGTGAACCAGGTCTCAAACTTCTCTGTGCATAGAATCGCCCTTGCAGTGTGTTGGAACTCAGCTTTTTGCATTTCTATCAAAACCACAAGTAATGCTGACCATGCTGCAGGTGATAATCTGCTTCTGAGAGGTAGAAATTTTATGTAAGTGTTTCCCCATTCCCTACTGGACCTCTGAGCAGTTGAGCCCTCTTGGATGAGGATAGAATGTGTTTGTCTTACATGATTAAAATGCAATCCATTTGACAAGCTGTATTTTCCACAGATTCATGGTTGTCAAATCCTGGAAACAGTCTACAAACACAGCTGCGGTGGTTTGCCTCCTGTTCGAAGTGCACTAGAAAAGTAAGCAGTGGCTTTATTAGGGATTGTAGATTTATTAGAAAAGTCATGATGACTTCTTGTGTTTTGTTTGCAGGTCATCTCAGGTTTTCTTCTGCCACCAGCTATGACCAGGGTAGAAAAGGAGTCAGTGTAACCCTTACAATGCCTCAGGCATTGAGAAGTGAGTTTTGTAAAGTGAAGAATCAAAAGACAAGATTTAGCAAGATTCACATTATGATCCTTCACATCATGTGCAGGATCTGGGTTCAATTCCCAGTCTCTCTCTCTCTCCCTCCCTCTCTCTCTCTCTCTCTCTCTCTCACACACACACACGATTAAATGCTGCCCATTTGACCTTTCTGTTCTTTTTTTTTTATTTTATTTATTTGGTCCGGTCATGGGGCCTGAACTTGGCCTGGCGCTGTCCCTCAGCTCTTCAGCTCAAGGCTAGCGCTCTACCACTTGAGCCACAGCGCCACTTCCAGCTTTTTTCTTTTTGCTTATGTGGTGCTGAGGAAGTGCGTGCAAGGCAAGCGCTCTACCACTAGGCCACCTTCCCAGCCCTCTTTTTTTAAAAGGTCAGTGTGACATATTGCAAAATTGAAACAGATGGTCTCTGAAGCGCTTTAAACACTTACACTATACAAGTCAACCTTCAGAACAGCTTATTATACTTAGGTGTAGATATATAATCTTACATAGATATATGATAGATGCTTTTTAAAAGATTTTTTTGTTGGTTATGGGGCTTGAACTCTGGGCCTGGGCACTGGTCCTTGAGCTCTTTAGATCAAGGCTAGCACTCTACCACTTGAGCCACAGCGCCACTTAGGTTTTCTGGTGATTAATTGGAGAGAAGAGTCTCAGACTTTCCTTCCTGCCTGGGCTGGTTTCAAATGGTGATATTCAGCTCTCAGCCTCCTGAGTGGCTAGGGTTACAAGCGTGAGCCACTGTTCTATACATGTATCTTATAGTGTGCAATGCTAGAAATTCAATCCAGGACCCTACATGATAAACATATTTGTTACATCTTTTCAGGAGCTCAGATTTTCTCCAGAGCACATACTCTAACATATAAAAACATAAATGACTTAGCATTTGATATTTTTACTTCTTTTTTTAGTGGTGCTGGGGCTTGAACTCTGGTCTCATGCTTCCTAAGCCCCAGCACTTGAGCCTCCCCTTAAGCCCCAATTTTACAATTTTTATTTTATTGTAAAGGTGATGTTCAGAGGGGTTACAATTATATAAGTAAGGTAATGAGTACCTTTCTTGAACAGTATTACTCCCTCCCTCATTTTTTCCCACTTTCCCTCCACGCTGGCAATTTTTTTTTAATTTGGTGCCATTACTGACCTCTGCTTAAGTGCTGTCCTTATTTGCTCAAGGCTAATGCTGTGCCTCCCACTTGAGGCCTACAGCTCCCTTCTGGCTTTCTGACGGCTAATTGGAGAAGAGTCTCACAGGCTTTCCAGCCTGCTCTGGCTTCAAACTGTAATCCTCAGATCTCAGCCTCATAAGTAGTTAGGATTACAGGCGAGAGCCACTGGCAATGTTTTATCTCTGAGGTAGGGTCTCACTTAATGTCTGGGCAGCCTAGGCTACAGACTTCTCCACATCGATAGAGATGACAGGTACACATCTCTATGCCAGCCATGATGCTTACCTGTAGCTGGGATAACAGGTGCCCGCGTCAGACCCAACCACAGGATGAGATGAACTTGTATGCCTGAACTAGCCTCAAACCACAATCCTCGGATTTCTGCCTCCCAAGTAGGTAGGATTACAGGTTTGAGCTATCATTTCCTGCCTTGATTTTTTTGTTAGAAAAGAGAGATTCTAGTTAGTTAGTATACAATAAGCAGTAGATTCAAACTCTTGTTTCTTTTCCTATCAACTCTACTTTTGAAAATTTCAATCTTAAAAAGAAGTTGTAATAGAAGCTATAAAATACTTGTGCATCTTGGGGTTTCACAAGTTACCATTTTGCCACATTTTTTCATTTTTTTTTCTGTACATATCTAAGTGGTACACATATACACATAGACATGCCCCAGACATGGTTGTTGAGGGGCAAAAAAAAAAAAAGAAAATGGTTGTTGATGTCATAACAGTCTTTGCCCTATACAACTTCAATACTGTATTTCACCCAAAATTAACATGAATTCAGTAATATACTATTCTAGAGTATATCCAGATTTTCCCAGTTCCCTTAAAGACCAATGTACCTGATTTCCCCCCAATAGAAAATCCAGTTGATGCTTATATACCGCATTTGGTTTTTTTGTTTTTGTTTTTGGTCCAGTCGTGGGGCCTGAACTCTGGGACTGGGCGCTGTCACTCAGCTCTTCAGCTCAAGGCTAGCGCTCTACCACTTGAGCCACAGTGCCACATCTGTTTTTTTTTTTTTCCTGCTTATGTGGTGCTGAGGAATCAAACCCAGGGCCTCATGCATGCAAGGCAAGTGCTCTGCCACTGAGCCACCTTCCCAGCCCCTGCATTTTATTTTAGTTACTGCACTTAGTTGCATAATACATTTTCATGTCTACTTGGCCTCATGTTAAATCTTCTGACACCAAAAAGAACAAATTTACAGCCAGGTGTCAGTGGCTTATACTTGTAATCCTAGCTGAGGCTAAGATCTGAAGATCACAGTTCAAAGCCAGCCTGAGCAGGAAAGTTTGTGAGACTCTTATTTCCAGTTAACTACCCCCCCCCCAAAAAAAAAATGCTGGAAATGGAACCGTGGCTCAAGTGGTAGAGCACTAGCCTTGGGCACAAAAGCTCAGGGACAGCTCATTCAAGTCCCAGAACCAACATAAGAAAAAACATCTCTGAACTTTACTGAACAGTTCAGACAAGTACATAGGTTGTCCGATCATGAGCAGTAAAAACAATTCTTTTTAACTCACTTCCTCTGTGAGTCACTTCCAATGTGACTCACGCTCAGTCAGAGCAGCAGAGCGCATGAGCACTATAGCCTGGTCTGGGCGTGCACTCCCCAGGATCTTCCTTCCCTCTCCTCTCCAGAATCCTGGCCGTGTGTCATGGGGTCATGTATAAACAGCTCTCAGCCTGGATGTTGCACGGTCTCCTCTTGGACCAGCATGAAGAGTTCTTCATCAAGCAGGGTCCCTCTTCAGGCAATATCAGTGCCCAGCCAGAAGAGGACGAAGAGGATCTGGGTATTGGAGGACTGACAGGAAAACAACTAAGAGAACTCCAAGACTTGGTGAGAGCACATAAGTCCCACATGATCCTACCAGGAGGCACGGCAGTCCACAACTTCGTAGTCAGTTGATCCCTCCTCAGCTCCTAGCCAAGGTACCTCCTACAGTTTGTTTGCAACACTGCGGTTTGAACTCAGAGCCTTTTGCTTTCTAGACTGGCCCTCTTCCTCTTGAACCATGCTTCCATCCCTGTTTATTTTGGAGATGAAATTTAGCTAGGACCACCCTCAAACCTTGATCCTCTGATCTGAACCTCCTGAGTGTAACTAGTATTACAAGTATGAGCCACCAGTGCTTTGCTTTCTTTTTAGTATGCAATGACAAAATAGAAAATGATTATGAAGCCAAGTACTGGTGGCTCACACCTGTAATCAGCCTAGGCAGAAAAGGCCATGAGACACATCTCCAATTAACCAGAAAAAAAAACCAGAAGTATAGGTGTGGTTCAAGCGGTAGAACTCCAGCCTGGAGCAGAAAAGTTAGTAATAGCATTAGGTCCCGAGTTAAAAGCACAGTACCAGTGTGCACATGCGCACATGTAATTACACATGTAATCTTGTCTCTGCAAGTAGTTACCCAATAGTTTTTAAACATGATGTGGTGATTTAAGGATTGTGCGTAAGTGCAAATCTCCTTTTCATCATCTCCGATGTCATTTCCTTGACTAGCGTCTGATTGAAGAGGAAAACATGCTGGCCCCTTCTCTGAAGCAGTTTTCCCTGCGGGTGGAGATTCTGCCATCCTACATTCCAGTGAGGGTTGCTGAAAAAATTCTCTTCGTTGGAGAATCTGTCCAGATGTTTGAGAATCAAAATGTGAACCTCACTAGAAAAGGTAGGATTCTCCTTGCCTCGTACATGGCTCTTGGTAAGCTCCTGTGGCCTACAGCCTGCCTGGTACCGAGCAGCTGGAGGGTAGTCCTGACGGCTGCCTTCTCCAGAGCCCTTGCTGTCCCAACTGCCCTTCCTCCTCCGACTGCACTGTCCTGTGCTGCAGGATCCATTTTGAAGAACCAGGAGGACACATTTGCAGCAGAGCTGCACCGGCTCAAGCAGCAGCCTCTCTTCAGCCTGGTCGACTTTGAGCAGGTGGTGGATCGTATTCGTAGTACTGTAGCTGAGGTTTGTCTTTTTTTTTTTTTTTTTTTTTTGGGTCTGGTCGTGGGGCCTGAACTCTGGGCCTGGGCACTGTCCCTCAGCTCTTCAGCTCAAGGCTAGCGCGCTACCACTTGAGCCACAGCGCCACTTCCAGCTTTTTGCTTATGTGGTGCTGAGGAATGAAACCCAGGGCCTCAGGCATGCAAGGCAAGCGCTCTTCCTCTGAGCCACCTTCCCAGCCCCTGAGGTTTGTCTTTTTGTCTTACAGTGTTTCAGACAGAAAATATGTTGGGTCCTCAAGAAATTGACTTTCCTTTCTTTTTAACCCAGTTTACAGCTTAGCTTGAACATAATTGAAGGCAAGAAAAAAATAAAAGCTCTGTTTTAAAAAGAGGCAAAACTGGCTGGGCGCTGTACCAATGGCTTACTCTTGTAATCCTAGTTGCTCAGGAGGCTGAGATCTGAGGATCACAATTCAAAGCCAGCCCAGGCAGGAAAGTCTGTTAGATTCTTATCTTCACTGAAGCACTAGAAAATCAAAGTGAAGCTCTGGCTCAAGTGATAGAGTGCTAGCCTTGAACAAAAGAGCTCATGGACAGCGCCCAGGCCCAGAGTTGAAGCCCAGGGACCAACATTTAAAAAAAAAAAAAAGAGATCACCTCACCTCTGTATGTATACAACCTGGCTCAGCCTCTCTTCCAAAGAGGCTGGTGTCGTCATCTCTTCTCATTGACTCTATTTCTGCCTTTTGAATATATAATTCACAGAAGAAAATGCACTTTTGAAATTTTGAAATGAATATATTGTTACATACTGTTTCCAATTTGCAAAGATGAAAAGCAAAAAACTGGATTTTGGGATCGGGGATGTAGCTCAGTTGGGAGAGCAAACACTTGCCCATCATCCACAAGGTCCTGGATTTATTTCCCACCATTGCCCCAGACACAAATAGAATGAAGCTCAGACTCAGGTTAATTATTTTATTTTTTTCTTACCAGTCTTGGGGCTTGAACTCTGGGCCTGGACGCTGTCCCTGAGCTCCTTTAGCTCAAGGCTAGTGTTCTACCACTTGAGCCACAGTGCCACTTCTATTTTTCTGTTATTTATTAGAGATAAGAGTCTCACAGACTTTCCTGTTTGGGCTAGCTTTGAACCATGATCCTTAGATCTCAGTCTCCCGACTTGGATTACAGATGTGAGCCACCGGTGCCCAGCTCTGGTTATTTTTTAACTGCTGGGTTTGTCCTGTAATCAACTTTTTTGTTGTTGTTCTTGCCGTAGCATCTCTGGAAGCTGATGGTGGAAGAGTCAGATTTACTGGGTCAACTGAAGGTAATAATTTAGATATCCTTTAAGCCTTAAAATGATACTGGGTGGGTAGTGACTTACATTCTTGGGTTTTTTGGTTCTTTTGGTCATGGTCTTTGAACTCTAGGTCTGGGCACTGTCCCTGAGCTCTTCAGCTCAAGGCTAATGCTCTACCACTTGAGCCACAGTGCCACTTTGGGCCTTTTCTGTTTATGTGGTGCTGAGGAATCGAACCCAGGGCGTCATGCATGTGAGGCAAGCGCTCTACTGCTGTGCCACCTTCCCAGCCCATGACTTACATTCTTTTTTTTTTTTTTTTTGCCAGTCATGGGGCCTGAGATCTGGGCCTGAGCGTTGTCCCTCAGCTCTTCAGCTCAAGGCTAGCACTCTACCACTTGAGCCACAGTGCCACTTCTGGCTTTTTCTGCTTATGTGGTGCTGAGGAATCGAACCCAGGGCCTCATGCATGCAAGGCAAGCGCTCTACCACTGAGCCACCTTCCCAGCCCCATGACTTACATTCTTTAACTGAAAACATTGGTTGTTTATACCCAGACTTCCACAGTGGACTCATTGCTCTTAACGCTGATGAAAACTGTCATGGGTATTTGGAGCTCCAGCCAAGGGTTGGTGAAAGAATGTACTGAGACAAAAAACAAAACCAAACCAGGATGCCAGTATGACAGACGCATGTTCAGGGAAGCAGAGCATAATGCTGCTGTTGCTACTGCTCCACTGCTCTTGATGAAGAGACAGGTTTCTATGGGGTTAGTACAGATTCTATTCTATTGGCCATTTCTCTTTTTGTACACCATTTTGACTGGCCATCTCTTTCTTGGACCATGCTTCAGATTTTGAGCTTGGGTTTGCGCACCTGGCTCTCAGGTCTGCATCCCATAGGGCCTGTCTGGTGGGCTTGGCTAGCTTCCATTCCCCCTGAACCTTGCTGTTTCTCTGTCCATCCCATCCCCTTAAACGGGCCTCCTACACAGCAGCTGTACTGTCTCTGGTGTAGTGTTCAAACAGGAATGAGTCCTGCTTATGAGAAACTGCTGAAAATGCCAGTTTGAAATGCCTCTGCCTATATCCTTCAGACTGAGAAGATTGGGAAATTCTATGTGAAACTGTCAGGACCTCTGACCTTGCTTTGCAGAATTAAAAATGGAAATTCTTTCCGCAGATCATTAAAGACTTTTACCTTTTGGGACGAGGAGAACTGTTTCAGGCCTTCATTGACACAGCTCAGCACATGTTGAAGACACCACCTGCCGCAGTCACTGAGCATGGTAATTGCTTGTGGCCCTGAGACCCTGTGGGGTGTTTGCCTAGTGCTGCTGTTTTAGGCTGCTCCATAGATGAGCAGCCTGGGGGCACAGTGCTCCAAAAGATGGGAGAGCCTCTCAGGGCAGCTCACTTTAGCACTCTGACCCTTCCTGGAAGAGCTGGTACTGTAGACCTTCAGCCCAGGTATTTTATTGGTTTATACTGTCATAATGGTGCATATTGTGATTTATTGTGACTTGTAGTGTTGTACTGGAACTCTTTAGGTTCTGAATCAGGGCAGTGTGGCATGGGCTGGTCTAGTTAGAGAGGGAGAATCTGCTCTTTTCTGGAATTTCAGCAACATGGGCTATGACTAGTGTGGCTTGAACTATCAGTGTCTTCGTTCTTCCTCTTCCTGTATCTTGGGTCTGAGTGTTGTCCCAAGACCTCAGAAAAACATACCCTCCAGTGGTCTCATCAGGAGCAGAGAGTTCCAAGGGAACCTAGGTAGTAACATACCTATCAGTGTAAGAAGGTTAAACACAAGGAAATGACCAGCTCAGTCAACTGTCCACTGTTTGACCATTGGCTGTTTCCCATTCAGACTACATAAAGAGAGCTGGGTAATGGTCAGAGCCAAAATCAAAGAAAAAGAAAATAATCCAGGAAGAAAAAAGAAGGTTCTTGTTTTTCTAGCTTAATAATAGACACCTACTATAGTAACATTATTTTTTTGGTTGCAGCTATCACAAAACCCAGTTCAGATTCACTTAAGCAAGGCCAATAAAAAGGGGAGATTGTCAATTCTCCTAACTAAAAGGTTAGAGGCACTGGCTTTATGCAAGGTTTGATCTGATAGCTCACATGATGCTGTAATACTTGGTCTCTCCCTGTCTTCACTCTTTGCCTTTCTTCTCAGATTCTGGTTTGGAGTGTTAGCAACATACCAAGGTTACATCTGAACTATGTTTCTGTTTTATCTTGTGATTTTTTTAAATTGTACAAAGAGGTTTCAGTTGACATCAGATTATGAATACAGTGCATCACCCTCCCATCATTCTCCCCATTTACCGCCCCCTCCCCCGCTCAAGACCTACAGCCAACATCACAACAAATGGAAAAAACTAAAACCATTTCCTCTAGAATCAAGAACAAAACAAGGATGTCCATTCTCCAGGCCTGAGCACTATCCCTGAGCTGCTTTTTGCTCAAGGCTAGCACTCTTAACCTGGGGCTTCGTGTATGCTAGACAAGCCATATTCCCAGCCCCTCCTCTCTTTTTTAATACAAAACTAGAATTCCTAGCTAGAGCAATAAGGCAAGAAAAAGACATAAAGAGGTCCAAACAGGGAAGGAAGAAACCATAAACTATTCCTCTTTGCAGATGATCTTACTTAGAGGCCTCAGAGACTCTATCAAATACCTAGAGCTGATACATGCCTATGGGAAAGTAGCTGGATATAAAATCAACTCATTATCGTTAAAACAGCTGAACTCATTGAAAATCTGAACACTGCCTCTGGATTGGCGGTTTCTAGCCCTATCACTAAATAAAACTGCGTAACAGACTACTCCCATCTGATCATGTGTGGCTCACCTGTCTACCCAAGACCATGTTGCCATCACCCCTGGAACTTCAGGAATTCTTTGAAGGAGGCTGTTAACCAGCAAGAAAGGAAGAGGGACGAATGGTAGTCAGGCAAAAGTTAGTATGTCCCGTGCACCCTACTATTAGCTTTCATATTAGCCTGTGTGTTTTTTCTTACAGATGTAAATGTGGCCTTTCAACAGTCCGCACACAAGGTGCTGCTGGATGATGACAACTTGCTCCCTCTGCTGCACTTGACAATTGAGTATCATGGAAAGGAACACAAAGGTTTGCTATTTCTGCCTCCCTTAAGGCTTCATCTGTTTACTGTCTCTGCTTCCATCCCCCTTCAGAACTATGAAGGTACCATGAAGGTAGTAGCTCACGGGCCTTAGAAACTACCCAGTACAGTGGTCTTAATTTCATGAGGGAGAAAGGAAAGTTACTAAATCTAGAAAGGTTAAGTGAGATCATATTGATAATTTTGTTTTCAATGTTTTTTTTTAAGCTGCCAGAATGGTCCCTGATACTTACTTCCATCCTCCATAGTTTTTTGTTGTTTTTTTTGTTGTTGGTTGTGGGGCCTGAACTCTGGGCCTGGGCGCTGTCCCTCAGCTCTTCAGCTCAAGGCTAGTGCTCTACCACTTGAGCCACAGCTCCACCTCTGGCCTTTTCTTTTCTTTTCTTTTTCTTTTTTTGGGTCCAGTCGTGGGGCCTGAACTCTGGGCCTGGGCGCTGTCCCTCAGCTCTTCAGCTCAAGGCTAGTGCTCTACCACTTGAGCCACAGCTCCACCTCTGGCCTTTTCTTTTCTTTTCTTTTTCTTTTTTTGGGTCCAGTCGTGGGGCCTGAACTCTGGGCCTGGGCGCTGTCCCTCAGCTCAAGGCTAGCGCTCTACCACTTGAGCCTCAGCACCACTTCAGGCTTTTTCTGTTTATGTGGTGCTGAGGAATCGAACCCAGGGCCTCATGCATGCAAGGCAAGCTCTCTACCACTGAGCCACCTTCCCAGCCCTAGTTTTTTGTTGTTAAAACAGGTCCTGGGGATTGAACTCTTGGCCTGGGCAGTCCCTGAGCTGCTTTTGTTCAAAGCTAGCCACAGCTCTACTTCTGGCTTTATCTGTGATTAATTGGAGGTAAGAGTCTCATGAACTTAGCTGTCCAGGCTTGGGCTTTGAACCTCAACCTTCAGATCTCAGCCTCCTAAGTAGCTGGGATACAGGTGTGATTCACTGGTGCTCAGCTTCCAGGTTTTAAATTGAAAGATAAAAGCATCTCTAGAAGGCCTTCCAAGAGAGCCTCTCTCCTAGGTTTCCTTGCTTCTCTGCATTTGCATCTGTTCTATGCTCTGCCACTGTCAACTCCATGAAACTATCTTGTGAATGCCATTCTGTTGGCTCTCTGGACTACTAAAGTTGGGATTTCTTCCTTTCCTTCTTCATCAAACATAGGAGATGCTACTCAGACAAGAGAAGGCCCTTCTCGAGAAACCTCCCCCCGGGAAGCTCCTGCATCTGGCTGGGCAGCTCTAGGTCTTTCCTACAAAGTACAGTGGCCTCTACACATACTCTTCACCCCAGCTGTCCTAGAAAAGTGAGTATTTGTTTCTCATAAGTGTCACCACCTGACTTCCAAGGGAAGCCATTTACAGAAAGTAGCAAGAAGCCAACCAACAAGTTTTAACACTTTTTATTCATTTGGCTTCGTTTCTTATTTGACACCAGGTCTCACAAAACCCTCCAGGCTGGCCTCTGACATCCATGTTCTAGGACTATTCTAGTGTGTGTCACTGCACCCAGCTCACTATGTTTTAAATAGTTGTACAAAGCCAAGATTCAGGCATATAGCTACTTACACCAATTCTTTTTTTTTTTTGGGGGGGAGGGAGGGTCCAGTCGTGGGGCCTGAACTCTGGGCCTGGGCACTGTCCCTCAGCTTTTCAGCTCAAGGCTAGTGCTCTACCACTTGAGCCACAGCGCCGCTTCCGGCTTTTTTCTTTTTGCTTATGTGGTGCTGAGGAATCGAACCCAGGGCCTTGAGCATGCAAGGCAAGCGCTCTACCACTGAGCCACCTTCCCAGCCCAAACCAATTCTTTTTTAAATTTGCCAAATAAGACATGTGTCTTCTCGGAATCCTAATCCTTGATTCATATCATACTTACCAGTCCATACAAGACTCTCCTGCCTGAACACACACCAGAAAAACACAAACACAACACTGATAATGTCATCTACTGATGTGTCCTCCCTGACCATCTGTGCTCCTCCAGCTCAGATCCCATGTTTCCTTTCCTTTTTCTGTAGTTGTATCATACATACATGCATACATATAGAGAGATCGATATAGATATATATGAGATATACGTTTTGCTATTCTGTTTTACTGTGTAAATCAGCTTCAAGTGAGCGCCAGCTTGAGAGCTCAGGAGGCTAGGATCTGAGGATCGTGGTTCCAAGCGAGCCAGGGCAGAAATGTTGATGAGATTCTTATTTCCAATAAACTTACCAGAAAAGGCCAGAATGGCATTGTGGCTCAAGTGGTAGAGCACTAGCCTTGAGCACAAAGAGCCTCAGGTACAGTGCCCAGCCCTGAGTTCAAGTCCCAAAGACTGGCAAAAGAAAGAAAAGTAGTTTCAGTATATTAGTCCACATCTCTAGCCAGTCTTTCCTGTCACTTTGGGGAGGGTTAGGGGTGTCATGGACCCTAGTTGGGTGGAGTAGGGTTTGTGTCTTGACTAACCTGGTGTGTCTGCCCCAGGTACAATGTTGTTTTTAAGTATTTACTGAGTGTGCGCCGGGCCCAGGCTGAACTGCAGCACTGCTGGGCTGTACAAATGCAGCGCAAGCACCTCAAGTCCAGCCAGACCGACGCCATCAAGTGGCGGCTACGGAACCACATGGCCTTCTTAGTGGACAACCTTCAGTACTATCTGCAGGTATGTTCTAAGGGATGCGCAGAAAGAGGGCTAAGGAGAGGCTGAGGCATGGTTCAGCAGTGGAGCCATGACCAGCAAGTACGAGCCCAGAGTTCACGTCCCAGGACTGTGTGCCTAGGAAATAGGATTAAAGTGGACTTACGTTCTGTGTTCGGCAAAAATGCTGGGGTTTTAGAAAAAGTCAAGATTATTTTGTGGGGCACAATGACTTATATCTATAGTCCTAGGTACTCAGAAGGTAGAGATCAGGAAGATCACAGTTCTTAAGGACAGCCTAGCCTGGACAGGAGTCTCAGGCAATAAGAGGCTGGCCAAGCATTAGCCTGTCATCTCAGGTACACAAATCAGTTAGCTGGCTTAGGCATTAATGCAAAACCATATTAAAAATTAAAGCAAGCGAGGTGCCAGTGGCTCACGCCTGTAATCCTAGCTACTCGGGAGGCTGAGATGTAAGCATCGCGGTTCAAAGCCAGCCTGGGCAGGAATGTCTGTGGGACTCTTATCTCCAATTAATCACCAGAAAACTGGAAGTGGTGCTGTAGCTCAAGTGATGTTGAGCTTTAGAGCCAAGGGAAGCACCCAGGCCCAGAGTTCAAGACCCACAACCAACTAAATAAAGCAAAAAGGGCTGGGACATGGCTCAAGTAGGAGAGCACCTGCCTATCCTGCATAAGGCCCTCAGTTCAAATCCCAGCACTACAAAAAAACAAGCGGACTGGGGCTGTGGTTCAAGGGGTAGAGCACTTCTTGCCAACGCATTGAATTCAGTCATCAGTATTGTCAAAAAACAAAACTTCTGCATGGCTAGGCAGTGTGATTGTTTCTGGTCAGGTTGGAAGTGGCTTTACAGTGCTCAGATTGAAAGGTACTAAAGCATCATTTCTGTAACTGTGTACCAGGTAGATGTTCTGGAGTCTCAGTTCTCACAGTTGCTTCATCAAATCAACTCTACCCGAGACTTTGAAAGCATCCGCCTGGCTCATGACCACTTCCTCAGCAACTTGCTGGCTCAGTCCTTTATCTTGCTGAAACCTGTAAGTAAGGATGCTTGGCTAACAGGATAGGAAACTATTAGCACTGTGTGCTAAATATTTTTATTTAACTTATAAAAGCAAAGTTAAGGGGCTGGGAAGGAGGCTCAAGTGGTAGAGCACTTGCCTTGCATGCCTGAGGCCCTGGGTTCGATTCCCCAGCACTACATAAGCGAAAAGAAAAAAGCCGGAAGTGCCACCCCAAAGGTGCTAGACTTCTGTTTTGACTTTCAGTTTGTGACTCTTGCTATACAAGTTACAGATGCCACTCCAGATGGTTTTGTGAATTGAAAACTGCCCAAACAACTAATTAGACAGTGACCTTGAACAGCCTGCTGCATCCTTGGGGAAAAGGAGAATATCAGAGCAGGTTGTCATCATGAAATCTTTATTGAGTGCTTACTGTATGCAAGGCACTGGGGATTACAGAGGTATAAGTCATGGCTCTGCCCTTAAGGAGCTCACAATCTAGTTGGAGAAATGAAGACATGTACACACAAAGGTCAATAACAACGCAGTTGCCAAGTGAACAACAGTACAGATCCTATGGCAGAGAAGGGGGGTTCACTAAAGGCTACTTGGAAAGTACTCCACCGAGAGCAGGCTTGTTTAAACTGCTATGAAGGAGAAGCTCATCACAGACCCAGGGAAACATACTTATACTCTGAAGATCTAAGAAATGATGACAGTGTGAACAGAGTGGAGGTTTTGTGCAGGAAGAGGGTTATGCGTTTGAGAGCTAGCTGGTCTTGCAGACGGCAGTCAGACAGGGAAAGTCAGCTATCAGACTGTGTCTCCAAATAATTGCACAGGTATCTATTATCCTAATGCCACATCTGTTTACTGGATAGGTATTTCACTGCTTGAATGAAATCCTAGATCTCTGTCACAGTTTTTGTTCGCTGGTCAGCCAGAATCTGGGCCCGCTGGATGAGCGCGGGGCTGCGCAACTGGGCATTCTTGTGAAGGTGAGTCTATCTACTTGGCTAAAGGACAGAGGCAGTTTTGCCTGTAGACAACTCATGATCTTTCCTCTCTCTCAGTCCACTCAAGTATTTCCCCAGTATATATACACACTGAAATTGCAAGATACAAAGATAGGAATGTTAGTACCACTTGATTTTTGAAGTAGATGATTAATGTGCCACCACAATGTCCAAAAACCATTCAGCCCTGAATACTGTGTCCAGCCCACCACGTCCACACAGGCAGGCGGTGCTCCCCACCACATTCCCCCCTCCTCACGTCTCAGCGCTCCCTCTCTCAGTGGGCTGTAACAAAAGCAAGTTCTCTCTGCCCAACCTTAGTACCAGATGCTAAATTCCTGCTAATAAGTAGGGAGTAATTCATTTTATAGGCCTGGTTACTAAGAAGCCATTTTAGGAGCTACTAGAAGGCTGCTTCTATAGCACTCGCTCTACCCTGAGCTGTTGGCATGGAGAGTCAGTGAGTTCATGGATTGACAGCTTGCTTGACTTCTTCCTGTAGGGCTTCAGCCGCCAGTCTTCACTCCTGTTCAAGATTCTCTCCAGTGTTCGCAATCATCAAATCAACTCAGATTTGGCTCAACTACTCTTACGATTAGATTACAACAAATACTATACCCAAGCTGGAGGAACTCTGGGCAGGTAGGGATAGTCATGGGGAAACTGTAGACTTTGGGTATGAGTGTGGAAGGATGGTGGGTTGCCTCTTTATAAAACTCCAGATGACTTTAGCATCTATTCCAAATGCCCTCATAACAAGGTTCAGAGATGATATATGTAAACAAAACACCTTTAATAATTTTAGTGGTTATTTTCTACTAAAAATCATTACCGTAGTAAATGTATACTTAAAACCCTCTTACTTAAGTAAGGCTTTCAGTCTTCTGCCAGTTATACATATTGCTGCCATGCTTAATCTCATTCTGACTTGAACTAGCTATGAAGCCACAGGTGCTGAGTTTTGCTGCTCCCGGGTTTCTTTATGTGTCAGAGGTGATTCTAAACCTTGTAAATCATTAACACTGAGATTCAGTGATTACTTGGTTTCAATCAGTCCCACTCAGAAAAGTACAAGAAAGCCTTCCTTTCTAAGTGATTTCACAGAAGCCAAACTCTTTTGAATGTGTTTTATAAAGCTGTAAAGATGGGGAGGCATGATAAATATTTAATACATCTGTTTTCTTTTATAGTTTTGGGATGTGAACATTTCTGGTTCTTAAACTGAAGTCTCACACCACATTCCCGAGTCTGTAACAGAAGATTCAAAACAAACATCTCAATCTCTAGCAACTCACCAAATGCCTACAGCCTGGTGAGAGTTCTACCTTTTCTCCTAGAAGCCATGCAAGCCATGCAGAAGTACAAATCCTTCCATCACTCCCCAGGGGAAGGTAACGGCTGCTCCTTAGAGAGATTCTTTTTCACCAAGAGAACCTGTGGGTCAGTCAGCTGTCCCTTTGCTGGCTATGCAGGGGCCCTGATCCTTTACAGTGAGACTGCTGTATGCTCATTTTAGGCAATAGCAATTTACCACTCAAAGATGTGAAAGGTACTTCATAAACAGTAGAGATAATGAATTAAATATTTGATTCAGTTTATGAAAAAATAAAATTGTTTATAAATAAGTCAGCCGCTAGATTTTACTTACCAACCAAATAAAGGCTTTCCCTCTGCCCACCAAGAAATTTATATACACACATTATCTTTCCTCCTTCAGAAATGTATGATTGACAGCCTCCACCCACTCTTAAGGATCTTCAAAACTGTGAACCTGAAGAATTTTGCCAGTAAGTTCCAGTTCTTTCAGACTAGTAAAAGGGAAATTCTGTCTACTGCATTTAAGAAAAACTAGAGGTCACACTGGAGCTCCAAATGTCTTATCTTAAATCACAGAAATTGGTATTTCCCTCATGGCCCCCAACTACCCCTGACAATCATTTAAGGTTAACTTCAACATGAAGAAAATAAACAAGATGCAAACTGGAAAAGAATACAGTATTCTGGACTGCTTCTACTCCAGTATGGTCTTCATCTCCACATTTCCTACTACATACATCTTTCATTCCTGCAGCTGCTAATTGCCCATAATGCAGGAGTTGACAAACTGGCCTGCTGTGCATCTTTTAAGTACAACTATATTGAAACTTGGCTTCATTTACCTGTTGTCTATGGTGCTTACTCTTCTCACAACAAAGTTCAGTAGTTGTGGACAGATTGAATACCCACCAAGGCTAAAATAATCACTATTTTGATCTTCACAGAAAGAATGTGTTCTTTACAGAATGAGAAGACATTAGCAGGAATGATGCTAGAGGGGAGATGAGGAACAGCTTCAGCAACCCTGCCTACCATCATACAGTAATAGTAATGACTCCCACTAGTTTATAGTCATTCTCTGCTCATTTTTAGCGATTCGTCCTTTTCCCTTCAGCTCTGAAATTACTAGTCTCCTTACGAATCAGTAGTGGTCCAAAAACTTTAGAGCTCTCCCAACCAACTTTTGGCGCAACTATTCACCTGGGCTCTCACCTGCTTGCAACTGTGTTTTTCAGAAGTATGATATTTTAGGCAGCCTGGGCTAAATTTTAACAAGAATTCCACAGAAGAAAGCTCATTTCTAAATTCTTTCTGCTGGCTATCTCCTAAAATGAACAAGCCTATTGCAAACCTCAGAAGGAAGGTACTATGTTTGTTGTTCTGAGATTAAGCTCAAAGAAACGTGAAGGAATCCCAGTTACTACAACCAAAGAGATTCAACATTTATTTTATCATAAAAGTCCAGCAAATAAAACTATGTACAAGATCCATGCAAAGAATCCAGTTACACACAAGACACAGTTAAAACCTGATTAAAAGACACATTTAAAACCCGGTTAAAGGACAATCTCACAATAATAGCAAGGAATGAAACTGGTAAGACCAAATACCTTCAGTGAGAAACATAATCGTGTTTATATTTTGGATGCTGCTTGAATCCAATTCTCTCCCCAACAATGAGGCACTGGATCACCCACTCTTGTGAGACCACCGGCAGCTGCAACGCTTCAGCACATTTCAGCACCGAGGCTGGACATGACGGGTCCGTCACTACCACATCAAACACTCCTAAAGCAATGTCTGCAAGAAGCAAGAGTCATGTTAGGCCTCCGTTAAAAAGGTGGTTCACACCCATAATCCCCGCTACTCAGGAGGCTCACAGCTGAGGATTGCAGTTCAAAGCCAGCCCGGGCAGGAAAGTCTGTGAGACTATCTCCAGTAAATCACTAAAAAAAAAAACGGAAGTGGCGCTGTGGCTCAAGCGGTAGAGCGCTGGCCTTGAGCTGAAGAGCACAGGGGGCAGCGCCCAGGCCCAGAGTTCAATCCCCATGACTAACCAAAAACAAAAAGGTAGATCCCACTCTCCCCAAACCCTATTTTGTTAAACCCACCACTCCTGCTGCTCACAACCAAAAATGAAAGTTATACACTGGCATTATAGAAATGTTTATGGGACATACCACAGAGAATTAGTAAAGACACGAACAGTCTAGGTACTGTTTTAGCAATAGGAATAAAGTCAGACAACTACCACGACTGAGACTGGGACCACATGGCCTTAAGCTATGGTCCCAGGACATTCCTGGAGCAAGGACATGCATGCTTCCCAGGTACCTTTGTTATGGGCACTTGAATGGTGCTGCTTCACGGAGGCTGCCCCACCAGTCATGAGGATCTCAGACCAGAGCTCCAGGAAATTCTGCTGTTGGTCTGACACCAACAGTACCTTCAGATTGTGGAAAGGATTTTCACGGGGTTGCCTGTGAAGGAGTGAGAAGACCTTAGTGTAGCAGAACATATCCAACAAAGAAAGACCCTTCTACAAAGGACTTGAACACATCTGAATGGTATCAAAACTGAGCCTTGTATTGGGAAAATTGTCCCTGTTCTCTTTTGTGAATCATGTTCCCCGGCTTTCTGAAGCTACTCTTCAGATCTCTGTCCAGGGGCTGAGATCATGCTCCTCAGGTGTTTAATTTTGCTTCAATGCTTTAAAACTTAGGTCGTCTTGCAGGTAGGGAATTCTGAACCTATATAAAAATCCTCCCATATTTTCAAAGGATATCCACCACCATAGAGCTAACTAAACTAGAAATGCTAAAATAGTTTGAAATTGTGATTTAGTCTACTGCAGTCTATTTTCTGGAAATGCTCATGCTGAATTAAATTCTCCTTTCAAATGCTTGCTGTCTCCCTATTTAGCTCTAGATGGTGGTGGAACTGTGGGGCAGGCTCTCAAATACGTACCAATCTAGAATTCTTTGCTCTTCAAGGCTGTAACCAGCTGGCAAGAGATAATTACGGTAGTTCTGGAGCTGGTTGGCATGGCAGCTGTCATGGACCCAGACATGAGACACACACGGAATCCCACTGGCAAGGCACAGGAAGTACTTTCGGGTTCGACAATGCTGATCAGCAATTAGGAGACATTGGTAGGCTGTGTTACACTGAAAGAAAAGGACAGAGCCAGTAGTTCTGGTGATACCTACAGAAACCTAAATAGGAGCAGATCTAAAGAGTTCCAAATGCTAACCAAAATAAGAGTCATATTTCAGTTCTGTCACTGAGAAGCCCAAACTTCCACAGACTATATTCATCTACAGCTTTCTGAGGGCCTAATCCCCAAGTGTCAATGGCCCATGTCATGCTCAGCCTCAGTAATACTGATATAGGAAGTTCCACTAAACATGGAAAATCAAGCTCAAGTAGTCCTAGGTTCTAACTTTTCTTTTTGAATACGATAAAAATTCTACTTCATGCAGCAACAGTTTGACAGGTTCCCTGTTCCTAAAACCCCTGGCTACTTTATCCAGCCCCCAGACCTTTGCTCCATGCACAAACTCCTCTCACCTGGGCTTCATTGAAGTCTTCGAGTATATAGCCAGCTCCTGCACGAAGCTGGGATTCTGTGTACTGCTTGTTGAAAGGTGGAATTTCTAAAAACTCTATGTTTAAAAAAAAGATAGCAAGATAATTATTGAGCTAGTGGATTCCTGTACTACTCTGTATGCCTGTTTATTGTGCCTTTTCTACTCTTCAGCTACCTTCACAGCAGTGTGTCCCCAAAGCCACAAGAGACTTCCCCATGGGTCATAATATCTAATTTGAGACCTAGAAAATGCTACAAGAGAAGGGACAGAGTCAAGTGTGGTGGTACACAACTGCAATCCCAACTGTTCTAGAGGCTGAGGAAGGAGGATCACTTGAGATGACAAGTTCAAGACCAGCACGGGCAACACAGTGAGAATCCATGTTAAAAAAGGAGGATGGAGCAAGAACAGGGAGGCCTGGGCATATGAGAGGTGGAGGTTGCTCTTACACCTAAGAGCAGCAATGTTTCCTGCACTAAGACTGAAGTCAGTCAGGGGCCGTCACAGGAATGGACGTGAAGCTTATTCAAATCTGAATAGCCCTGATCTGGAAATTGGCCTTTCATCGACCCTACAGCTTTTCTGCTGCTTTACACCCATTTCCTCTAGCTCTGCCTTCAAATTCCCACTTGATCAGCATCTTTAACCGCTCCCCCTTACAACTAACCCTTGATAAGAATGTGCAAAGACAGTATGGTTTTAAATTTTCTAACTGATAAGGGAACTATGGTTTTACATTTTAAACTGATTAATCAGAAAATCCTGTTTCAATCTTTTCATGGAAAACTATCTACCTTTGATGATCTTGAAGTACCTCAGGACACTGAACATCAATGACTGCTCTACAGTCTTGAGGGTGAAGTAGAAGGTATGAGAGATGAAGCTGAAGCTGTAATGACCCTAGGCAATTTGAAACTGCTTCTTTTGACCAAATATCTAATTTGAGCTTGTTTTCTGGTCATCTGCTCCTCTCTTATATAAATAACACATTAAAAAAAGAAGAAAAGCAAGACATTAGAGATTTTAATTAATTGTAAGTTCTGGGAAATCAAATTCATTAAATTCATTAAAATCTTATCACAAATAAAAATCCCAACCCAGTGCATAAAGTTGAGTGCCGAGACCCCCTCCCTGCCTCCACCCCTGCGGGTAGAAGCTGGTGGAGCGCAGCACTTGCAGAGCAGTGCTTGGGTGGCCCCCTGCCCACGGAGCTGCTCTGGCAGCGCCTCTCTTCCCCTCCTCTCTCATCTTTGCTTGACTCAGCGTTCTCCATGTTTTTTTTGTTTTTTGGGGGGGAGGTCCGGTTGTGGGGCCTGAACTCTGGGCCTGGGTGCTGTCCCTCAGCTCTTCAGCTCAAGGCTAGCGCTCTACCACTTGAGCCACAGCGCCACCTCTGGCTTATGTGGTGCTGAGGAACCGAACCCAGGGCCTCAGGCAAGCGCTCTACCACTGAGCCACCTTCCCAGCCCTCTCCACGTTCTTTTTAAAATGAAAACTCAATCTAGAAACTCTTCGTTGGTGGTAGAATGCTTTGTCACGGCATTCTTTTGCACTCAGAATTTCTGTCTTGAGTCACAACCTGCAGCACCAAGATGGTGCTGCGTCATGCCGACAGCCAACGCAGTCCTCCTCAAACTGTCTACTTCACTAGGTGATCCGAGACCGCTGCTGTCACTCATGACCACAATCCCCAAGAACACTACATTTATACAGCCAATATTACAGTTTAGGCAGCCCATTCTTCTCATCCTTCTCCTTAGTTTGGATTATAGTCTCTTTACTGAGTGCCCTGTCCATCCCAAGGTACACATCAATAGTTTATCCCAAATTGATATCAAGCCATCAAAGATGAAAGGATTAAATGAACCCAGATCAAGTCCATTTCTGTATGACGAGTCCCTAAGAAAACCCAGTGCCATGTTCCTAATTCCTTGATAACATTTTCTAAGGGTTCCTTAAAAACTGCAGGATTGTGAACTTTTTTTTTTTTTTGTCAGTCGTGGGGCCTGAGCTCTGGGCCTGGGCGCTGTCCCTCAGCTCTTCAGCTCAAGTGAGCCACAGCGCCACTTCTGGCTTTTTCTGCTTTTGTGGGCCTCATGCATGCAAGCACTCTACCACTGAGCTACCTTCCCTACCCCGAATTGTGAATTTTTTAAGATTAAGCAAGTTTTTATTATAGATGCCATCACTATCCTCTTACGACTCTCATGGACTGAAATTATCAGGGATTCTCTGGTGCTATCTCAGCAGTATCCAAGAAAGAAAGAACGCCAACAGAAACCAAAAGCAGTGAAAACAAAACCTCAGAATGCCTTTTCAAAACTGTCAGACAAGAGGACTGCAGATAAAGGCCAGCCCTGGCGAAGAATGTCAGCAAAACACTCTCAAAAAACCAGCCAAGTGTTTGGATCACACATATATTAACTAGCGAAGTGAAGGGGAGAGGTAGAAACAACATGAACCCAGGCAAAAGCAGGAGACTATCTGAAAAACTAAAACAAAAAGGGCTGGAGGAATACTCGAGCGATAGACACTTGCTGGGCAAGTACAAAATCCAGACTTCAAACTCACATGCTGCCTTCGTTCTCATAAAAAGCTGTCCAAATTCCTGTTTTGTTGTTTTGGCCAGTCCTGGAGCTTGAACTCAGGGCCTGGACACTGTCCCTGAGCTCCTTTTGCTCAAGGCTAGCACTCTACCACTTGAGCCACAGCACCCCTTCCAGCTTTTTGTGTGTGTGTGGTACTGAGAACTCGAACCCAGGGCTTCATACATGCAAGGTTAAGCACTCTACTACTAAGCCACCTTCCCAGCCCTTGCTTTTTTTTTTTGGGGGGGGGGGGGTAAATAACTAAACGGGTTGGGAAGGTGGCTCAGTGGTAGAGTGCTTGCCTTGCACGCATGAGGCCCTGGGTTCGATTCCTCAGCACCACATAAGCAAAAAGAAAAAAGCCGGAAGTAGCACTGTGGCTCAAGTGGTAGAGCGCTAGCCTTGAGCTGAAGAGCTGAGGGACAGCGCCCAGGCCCAGAGTTCAGGCCCCACGACCGGACCGGGAGGGGGTGGGGGGAGGGAGATCTAAACAACAAGCATCTCATACAACGTTACCTATAGAATCCTGGTTTAGGGAAAGGGATTGAGGGTATTAGAACAAGAATGTGAAAGCAGAAAGAAAACAAGACCACAAAGGACTGGCAGAATGGCTCAAGTGGTAGAGCACCTGCTTCCATTCAGACCCTGGGTACAAACTCCAGCATTTGGGGGTGGCGAGGGAGAGAAGAGCAATCTTTAAAGAACAGTTTGTTTTTGAATGTTTTGGGGGAAGGGCTGAACTGGCACTGGACGTGAACACAGAGCCTAGGCACTGTCCCTTTCTCACTTAAGGGTGGCACTGCAGCCACAGCTCTACTTCTAGCTTTTTGGTGGCTAACTGGAGAGAAGAGTTTTGTGAGCCGGGCGCCAGTGGCTCACACCTGTAATCCTTGCTACTCAGGAGGCTGAGATCTGGTTCAAAGCCAGCCCGGGCAGGAAAGTCTGTGAGACTCTTGTCTCCAATAAACCACTAGAAAACCGGAAGTGGCGCTGTGGCTCAAGTGGTAGAGCGCTCGCCTTGAGCTGAAGAGCTGAGGGACAGCGCCCAGGCCTAGATTTCAAGCCCCATGACCGACAAAAAAAAAAAAAAAAAGTTCTGTGGACTCTACTGCCAGGGTGGCTTTGAACCATGATCTTCAAATCTCAGCCTCCCGGGTAGCTAGGATTACAGGCGTGAGCCTAGCATATAAACACTCAGTTAATGCCGTAACACACATATACCACTACACAGAATCACCCTATATGCCTAACAAATAACAATTCTTGGCTAAGAAAGTCCTCACATACCTCATCTCCCATTGTACCAGTCTCAGTTCTATTTAATCAATAGGTTTTGAACACAAGTAGCCCTTGGAAATGCCACCTGCTTCCATAGCCCAGTTGCCCTGGACTACAGCATCTTTACTCAAAGCCATTCTTTACACTGTCTGAAGAGCATCCCCCTGATCACTCTGCTCATGTCTGTTTGCCTCTCTCTCCACCTGACTGCAATTAGTTGAGGAAGTTTGGCTCATTAGTTGTCCATACAGCTGAAATAGCAGCTAGTACACGTCTTCTTTGCTGCTATTTTATGACAACCACGTTCTCTAATTCTGATTACCTCCTGCAAAGCTCAGCATCAGTCGGGTCTCTAACAAAACACTGTCCCATCAACTTTTTTAGCCTTGTCAGACACATCTGAACGTTACATGTCAATCACTTACAGTGCTATAATTATTTGTATCTCATATCGCATACTTTTCAGACCACTGAAATAAATTTTACTTCTGCTGACCAGCCTTCGCTGGTCAAGACACCAGAGAAATGTATGTAGTGCATGCAGTTGTAAGAGCACTGGTCATCCACATTTTTTTTTTTGGTCAGTTGTGAGGCTTGAACTCTGGGCCTGGGCGCTGTTCCTGAGCTCTTCAGCTCAAGGTGAGCGTTCTACCACTTGAGCCACAGCACCACTTCTGGTTTTCTGGTGGTTTATTGGAGATAAGAGTCTCACGGACTTTCCTGCCTGGGCTGGCTTTGAACCTCGTTCCTCAGATCTCAGCCTCCTGAGTAGCTAGGATTACAGGCGTGAGCCACCAGCGCCCGGCTACTCCTAGTCTTAACTGAGACTCAAGAGACTGCAACTGCCTCCATGTGGGTTTCCTCTAGCGGGAGATAGCAAGGTCTAAGAAACCCGATTGACTAGGAGGAAAACCACCTTTGGGTTCTACGTTGAGTGTGCCACTACTGACATAAAGCAGTTCTGCAGCTTTCAGCTTGCTGCTTCTATGTAAACTGAATGGTAAAAATCTATCTCCTATCTGTTTACATAGATTGTTTTGAGGAAGCACTCATGAAAACAGTTTTCATGTTCTTAACCAAGATACTACTTGCCAATCACCCCGCCCTCTACCCTGCTTCAGCAAAAGAACCACCAGCTTATAAAATGAGTGGAAGGAAGGAAAGGAGCTGCACATGCCAGGGCCTAAGGGACTTACCTTCCTCTTCCTCGCTGCTTCCTGTGGGGCCATCGGGCAGTTTAGAGCGGCTGGCCAACTTGTCACTGGTTGTGGCCATAGTGAGGAGAAAAGCATAGCCAAGAAACAAGGTTTTGTTGAGGGGCAAAGGTCCTCTCTGCTCTTCTAGGACAGAAGGTTCACCTGTGTTGTCTCCACTCTCACAGGGGCTCACAAAGTCTCCAGCCCCCACGGCACCTGGGAAGGACAGAGCACTTGTTAGAATAAGACACAAGGATGCAGCACCAAGAATGATCTGATGGGAGAGCCACGTCCTAATGAACTTTCCTGACCTATGACCCAACACCATTACTATGGCTAACAACCTAGGAGTAAACACACAATGAAATCGAAATGCAGTAGATTCAGATTTTAAAGTCAAAGTTTAAGTACATTACCAGAAATGAAAACCATAATTATTGTCAATCGTGGGCCTGGACACTGCTGTCCCTCAGCTTTTTCACTCAAGGCAAGCACTCTACCACTCTGAGCCACAGCACTACTTCTGGTTTTCTGTGATTAACTGGAGATAAGCATCTCACGGGTTTTCCTGCCCAGGCTGGCTCTGAACCATGATCCTCAGGTCTCGGCCTCTTGAGCAGTTAGGATGACAGGCGTGAGCCACCAGTGCCCAGTAGCCCTGTTTTTATATAGCCAAAATAAATGCTTCTCAGGCCATTAAAGTAGTTCTAATACAAAAAAAAAAAGTAAGAGTGCAAAATGCTTAGAAGTCGCCGGGCGCCGGTGGCTCACGCCTGTAATCTTAGCTACTCAGGAGGCTGAGATCTGAGGATCGCGGTTCAAAGCCAGCCCGGGCAGGAGAGACCGTGAGACTCCTATCTCCAATAAACCACCAGAAAACCGGAAGTGGCGCTGTAGTTCAAGTGGTAGAGCGCTTGCCTTGAGCTGAAGAGCTGAGGGACAGCGCCCAGGCCCAGAGTTCAGGCTCCACAACCGACCAAAAAACAAAAAAATGCTTAGAAGCCTTCAGCCCCTTCTGCAGCTCAGTGCTCCGATTTCCCTCAGGATATGTGATAGTGTGAAGTAGCCTTTAAAAAAATACAATTGTTCATATTAACTCTTTACATGTACATGAACCACATCAAAATACTAACGTCAGCTGTCCAGTGTCCATCACCAACACCTGGGTAGGTAAGTGAGCCAATCACTCCAGGACTCCCAGAACACCCATGCTGCAAGTGCCCCAGGACATTCTCAAAACAGCAAATGATACCTGACCTGGAGAAGTGGAGCCATAGGCTCATAGAAGGCTAAGATGACAGACACCTCAAGCATGCCTCCTTCACACAAAACCAGCAGAGGGCGAGCGACCTCAGAGGCAACACCATGTCGTGTGGACAAGGCGAGGCAGACTACAATGCATGGCTACTTTGTCATCTGAGAAAGTTAACCAACTTTTCTGTTTTCTTCAAATATCTAGAAAATGAATTTTTGTACATCAACTTCAAGGGATTATACATGCAGTAATAAGTATGAAGCTTGCCTCACAATAAAGTTCACTCTTTTTTTTTTTTTTTTTTTTTTGCCGGTCGTGGGGCCTGAACTCAGGGCCTGGGCACTGTCCCTCAGCTCTTCAGCTCAAGGCTAGCGCTCTACCACTTGAGCCACAGTGCCACTTCCAGCTTTTTCTGCTTATGTGGTGCTGAGGAATTGAACCCAGGGCCTCATGCATGCAAGGCAAGCGCTCTACCACTGAGCCACCTTCCCAGCCCCTAAAGTTAACTCTTGTTGTCGTTTTTGAATACCCTACAACACAACAGCAGTGTTGGGGGGATACTCAGATGACACAACTCAAAACACCAGAAAACCAAAGGGGCCGGGGCAATGGAATGCCAGTAGAATTTCATCTATGCCCCAAGCCTGAGCCTCCTCAGAACAGAGACTAACGACTTTACCAAGACCCACAATTTGGGCCTGTGTCACTGTAGACACTCAGTGAACAAGAGATGAACTGATCCTCTTAACTTTGAACATGAGTGACTGGGGAGGGCTGGGAGATAAAGATACAGGCTCAAGTACCTGTCATTAGGAATTAAGGCCTCAGTATAAAGAGGGAAGCAGAAGACTGTGCAGGCAAAGGAAGAGCTCCAAGACAAGCAGCCTGATCTGTTTTCCTTCTGCTTAAAATTCCTTATTTCTTTCCCTCCTAGAATCCATGCAGGGTTCAATGAATGTTTGAGATCAAGTCCCACCCTCCTGTCTGGACCCTGCTGGGAGGATAAAAGCCAGACGACACGGCAAGCTGGCCGAGCGAGCGCCGCCGCCGGCAGCTAGTGAGACTCTGACTCTCTAGCGGGTGAAGAGCGGCCACTGCCAGAGAGTAGGTCCCATCCTTCCAGCAGCTGACCTGCACCCACCAAGGGCTGAGCAAGAACGAAGCAAAGGCAGCACTGACCAGGCTTCACAGTGGTAGACTTGCGGCCTCGCTTGGCAGGGGACCTTTCCTCTTCAGAAGTAATAAGTTTCCTTTTGCCTGAGGGAACTCCGGAAGAGGCTCTGGGACTTTCGGCGACCTTGCGGGTAGGGGTTGTGCTGCTGCTGCTGCCGGAGGCGGTGGGGGTGGCCGGGGAGCTGATGTTGCTGCGCCGTTTCCGTTTTCCTTCCACCAAATTGTCTGTAGTAGGATAAGTCAAAGGTTGGTCAAATCGCAAGGTCTAATGAGATGGTGATTTAAATACAGGTACCTTTCCCCACCTCTCTTAGGCCCGCTTTTTCCTGCAAGCACCGCTGTAACAGGGATGGGTTTAGTCTCCTGTAAGTCAGGAAAGACCACAAAAGCCCTACGGACTTATTATTTGGTACTGGAAATAACAGGTAGGACAAGAACTCTAGAAATGGACAGCCGTCACTCCAGCTCATACCAACCTAGAGACCACATACAAAAATAGACAGGCCAGGCACGAGTGGTTCACACCTCTAATTCTAGCTGAGATCTGACAATCACAGTTCAAAGCCAGCTTGGGAAGTTAAATCCATGGGACTCATCTTTTCTCTAGTCAACTACCCAAAATGCTACAAGTGGAGCTGTAGCTCAAGTGGTAGAGCACTATCCCTGAACACAGGGACAGCGCCCAGGCCCTGAGTTCATGCCCCAGGAACAGCAAAAGAAGCAAAATGTAGGGAAACAGTACCAATTGCTCTGTAGAAGCCGCCCCTCCCCGTCTGTAAGCAACACGACGGAGCTCAGGCAGTGAGCAGCTCAGGAGGCCAAGGTCTTACCTAAGCTGATATCTGCTGCCTTTGTGAGCGGCGTCACTGCCTCATAAGGACCAAGCCCATACTGCTCTCTCAGTCTGTTTCCTTGCTCCAAGGACAGGATAACAGCCATTCGCTTATACCACTTCCTTTGGCCTTCTTTTTCAATGCTGTAGTACAGCTCCCCAGACTCCTTCCTATGTCCTTTCACCACTCCTGGAGTATGAAAACATAAAAAAGGCACACATACCTTCTTAAAAAGGTCTACAAAGCGGGCCTAACGCAGGGCATGCTAGAAGGCACCCAGCCCAGAGGGGTCATACCACTTAGCATTCATGTAGCTACTGTAAGATCAGAATAAGGACATTTTCTTGCCTCTAGGTGGCCTTCAGTTATCACATAAAGCTGCTCAAAACAAGCCTTCTCGTTTGGTGTGGTTCAAATTCAGGACAGAGGCACTGTCCTGGAGCTGCTTTTGCTCAGGGCTAGCACACTACCTGCTTTTTCTGGGTGTGTGGTACTGAGGAATAAAATCCAAGCTTAAATCCTATCACCAAGCTAAATCACAAAGACCTCTCCAACACACAACAAGCACAAGACCAAAATACACTTGTAATGAGAGCTGCTAGAACTAGAAGAATCTAAAATTGACATTAGTAGACTACCTCAATAAAGGAACACAAAATCATCACCCCTTGACGGAATGATTCACTCTGTTGCTGACATCTAGCTGGCTCTAAGAGTCACACTGGCAGCCCATGAAGGCAGCACAGAGCAGGGAAAGCTACTGATCAGCAAGGGATGGGGGACAGAAACAGACTTGGTCGGGGAGGACCAGCAAGAGGCGAGTGGGCTGGAGGGGAGGATAAAGGGTGTTCAGGACTGTGAAAATAAACTATTTCCTACTATGATAATAAACAGTGAAACCTGTTCTTTGTGATAGAGGGGTGGGACTGACTGAATACAATGGAAACGTGGATTTGTAACAACAAAAAAAGAGCCAAGGGCTGGGAAGGTGGCTCAGTGGTAGAGCGCTTGCCTTGCATGCCCGAGGCCCTGGGTTCGATTCCTCAGCACCACATAAGCTAAAAGAAAAAAGCCAGAGGTGGTGCTGTGGCTCAAGTGATAGAGCGCTAGCCTTGAGCTGAAGAGCTGAGGGACAGCACCCAGGCCCAGAGTCAAGGCCTCATGACTAGACCCCCCCCCAAAATAAAAGAGCCGATACATTTGATATAAACTGAATCACAGATCAGATCATAAAAAATTGCCTCACACAGCCAGTTTGTGTCACTAGCACTAAATAGTTCAGTGGCCCTTTTAACATTGAAACAAAGGCCAAAGAGCACTACTAAGAGAATCCCAAATACAAGAGAGCCAGGAAGACGCCAACAGAAAGGCATGTCTGTCCATTGTATCCTAGTCCATGTTCAACTCAAAGGGATGATTTAAAATAATGAAGTCAACACAAATTGGCATCTTCAAGTACATTCGCGTACAGGGACAGTGAGCTCGTGAAACAGGAGAATCTTGCGTAAATCCCCCACCACCAACACTAGCTTCTCATTCTGCCCTTTATGCTTTATATTATTTTCAGACAAAATTGTACACTTTTGCCCGCTGAACCCCAAACCTCCTATCTGTGCCTTGAAAGTATCTGGGATTATGGCTATGAGCCACCATATCCAGCCTAAGGCATTATTCTTCAAATTAGAAAGTAGTAGGTGTACAGGCATGCAAACCCAACAGTAACTTACACCTAAGTTAAATATATGTAGCTCCTAAGTTCCCATCAAAGAAGGAAGTATAAAAAAGTCAGTGAGGAAAGAAAGACTATGGAAAGGAAAAACAACAACTACTACTCATGTTCAACGTGGAGAAACCTGGCGACTCCCACCTTCCCAGTGACAAAGTCTGCCATCAGCACAATGGCATACACTTCCCTCAGTCCCAAATGGTATGATAGAAAGGGAACTTCAGGGCTGGGAAGGTGGCTCAGTGGTAGAGCGCTTGCCTTGCATGCATGAGGCCCTGGGTTCGATTCCTCAGCACCACATAAGCAAAAAGAAAAAAGCTGGAAGTGGCGCTGTGGCTCCAGTGGTAGAGCGCTAGTCTTGAGCTGAAGAGCTGAGGGACAGCGCCCAGGCCCAGAGTTCAGGCCCCACAACCGGACCCCCCCCCAAAAAAAAAAACAAAGAAAGGGAATTTCACCACACTGGCATTTTTTTTGTCTTTTTTTGTCGGTTGTGAGGCTTGAACTCTGGGGTCTGGGCACTATCGCTGAGCTCTTCAGCTCAAAGCAAGTGCTCTACTGCTTGAGCCACAGCACCACTTCCAGTTTTCTAGTGGTTTATTGGAGATAAGAGTCTCAACAGACTTTCCTGCCAGGGCTGGCTTTGAACTGTGATCCTCAGATCTCAGCCTCCTGAATAGCTAGGATTACAGGCATGAGCCACTGGCTGGCGCCTGGCAAACTGGCATTCTTTTTTCAAATCCTTAACTCTAGCTGGGCACTGGTGGCTCACACCTGTAATCCTAGCTACTCAGGAGGCTGAGCTCTGAGGATCACAGTTTAAAGCCAATTTAGGCAGTCCATGAGCCCCTTATCTCCACTTAACCACCCAAAAAGCCAGAAGTTGAGCTCTGGCTCAAGTGGAAGAACACTAGCCTTGAGCAGATAAAGCTCAGGGACAGTGTGCCCAAGCCCTGAGACTGGAATCACAAACAAACAAAATCCTTAACTCTAGTCTAATAACATTAGACAAATCCAGGTTGAGAAATATTTTATAAAATACCTGACTAGTATTCCTCAAAAGGTCATGAAAAACAAAAGACAGAAATTACCACAAACTAAAGGCGACCAAAAGTAAACATGATGGCTAAATGTATAGGTATCCTCGGCTAGATCCTGGAATAGAAAAACATTACAGAAAAGCTGGTAAAATCCAAATAGAATCTAGTTTAGTTAGTAAGAAACTAAAACTGGGGGGGAGGGGAGGAGAATTGGGTTGGGGGGGAGCCTGGGAAGGGATGGGAAGGGAAACAAAGGAGGAGGCTACAATGCTTGATAAGAAATGTACTCACTATCTTGCCCATGTGACTGTAACCCCTCTGTACAGTATGTTCACAATAAAAAAAATTTTTAAATGAAAAATAAAAATAAAAAAACTAAAACTGGTTTCTTAATTCTGAAGACTATTTGCCAATTTAGGAAGCTGAGCAGCAGGACAGCTGCGTGAGGAAGACGCTGGCAGGCTGCCCTAGCCGCACCCTACGCTCTGCAGACCTTCTGAAAAATGCCCCCAAGTGCAGCTGAATGAACACTGACGGCTCACACCTGTCACCCTAGCTACTTAGAATCTGAGGCTCTTGGTTCAAAGCCAGCACCGGTAGGAAACTCCATGAGACTCTTATCATCAATTGATCACCAAACAGTGGAAAGTGGAGCTGTGGTTCAACTGACAAGAGTGCCAGCTTTGAGCAAAAAAAACAAACAAGCATCAGTAAGCAGCCCTCAGTTCGAGCCCTAGGACCAACACAGAAAAAAGGAAAGGACGTGGCAGAAGCAAGCAGTGCTACAGGACAGTCTCTGCTCGACAGAGCCAGCTGAGGCAGGGAGGAAAGTCCTGGTGATGACTGACAGGATGGAGCTCCAATGGTCCCGGGGCACAGAAATCCACAGATTCAGCTTCTTTATTACCTGCACTGAAATACTCATCCTCCGAGAGGGCTGTCACTTCAGTATCCAGTGGGATGGGATCACAAAGAAGAATGTCTTTGCCCAACACATCACACTCATACCCATCGTCAAAGAGTAATTTATACTTCCCAGCTCCAACATCTCGAGTAATTTTTCCAGAGTAAAAGTAGCCATTGGATGACCACTTGGCCACAACACGGAGCCCTACGAAGCTGCTTCCTGGCGAGGAAGCATCGACGCCATCTGCAGAGCTGGCAGCGGTTTGGAAAGGAATCTCTGGCGAGTCGCTACGCCGCAAAGTGCTAGCACCCACATCTGCTCTTCTATTAGCGTCTGGGACCCGGGGCACAATTCGGGTGAAGGATTTGTCATCTGGAGACATGCTAGGCGAAATATCCTCTATGCCCAGTGGGCCAGACACAACTGTTTCTCTAAAGAGAAATAATGGGAAAAAACAATGAAAATGAAGACAATGAAAGTGTTATCTACCTATCCATTTCCCCTCCCCCGTGTGTCCACACTGCAGGGGTCTCTCCAGCGCTCTCTGTACAAACCCCATCACCGTGCGCACGCCTCACCCTCATCCCTTCCCACTCCCCTGGGTGTGGGTGCATTTCTCCCTCCTGATACCCCACATCCTCTCAGTCCCCCTTCTCTTCTTTCTGTTCCCTTGTTTTCTGAACAAGTCATAGGCTACATGTATCTCACAGTCCCCAGGTACCTGGTTCCAGTGGTCCGAGATGGTGGGCGGCCTCTGCGCCCGCGCCCGCGCGGCGTGACTGGAGCCTTCCCTCCCTGTCTGATGCCATCGCCGTCCTCCTCGCATACCGGTGCCCCCGTCTGACTAACCCCTTTTCTAGGGCTGGAAAATGAAGACAGGTTAGTGTAGTAACCGCTACTACATCCTTCCTTCACAGAAGGTCTGCATGGGCCTCCCCGTGCATGCCAGGCTCCATGGGGCAGGCCTCCAGGACAGCAGGAAGCTGGTTCACACAAACCCCACAACCTCAGCCGGGGACGCGAGGCGTGGGATACAAGGAAAGGACATTTCCTGTAGGAAAGTCTATTATTCCCTCTGACTGCGACCCTGAAAACTGGCGCACCTGTTTCTGCTCTGCCTTCTCATCGATTTCAGACTCTGGACACCTGAACAAAGGCTAAGACTCATCAAGTTAGGAACATTACTTCAAAGCTCCTGTACTCCTAACCAAAACAAGCCTGGCATGGAGAATATGGGGGGAGTAGAGCTATGTGCCCGGGATCTCCAAGTCCTTTCACCTGCTTTCTCTCAGGGACTTTTTTGCCAAAAAATAGTGCCCCTCCCACACCAGCCCCAAAGAGGAGAAATAAGCGCGGAGGAAGGGGCGTTGTTTATCATAGATCAAGGAGGGGATTTAGAACTGTCCCCAGCACCCCGCCCCTGCTGTGGCTCAGCCTCTGGAGTCCCTGTCTGCACCTCAGTTTTCCTGGGCCTCCTCGGGAGCTGGGGAAGGCAAAATCTGTGGGCTCCGTCGCGCTGCTTTTCCCTCTGAGTGGTCCGGCTCCTCTCCCCGAGCTGCCACTGCTGTGCATGGCCGAGAGACTCGTCCCGCTGGACGTGCGGTGCAAGCTGGAGGCCTTGGAGGAGAAGGAGCTGATATCGCCCAGGTCACCCGAGGAGCCCCCTGTGTGCGAGGGGCAAACTTCAGCTTCACACTCCTGACATTCTACAATTGGCTCCTCCGTTTCCTGCAGTGACGAAATGGATACAGAAGCAAAAAGAAGCCATGGCAATATAAGCTAACGTGACAGTGGGAAGAAATGTTAATGCTGAAAGGTGGGACTCAGGAGGGAACTTTTCAAAATATGGACAGTATTCTGTACCTGTTTTGAGCAATGGTTATAGAAAATTAGCAAGTCACTGAACACTTCGGATCTGTTTATTCTACCGGGAACACAGGACGTCTTCTTGTGTATGTGTGCGCTGGCCCTGGAGCCTGAACTCAGGAGCTGGGCACTCCCTGAGCTTTTTGCTCAAGGCTAGTGCTCTATCACTTGAACCACAGCTCTACTTCTGGATCTTTGTTAGTTAACTGGAGATAATAGTCAATTGTGGCTTTGAACCCCAATTCTCAGATCTCAGCCTCCTGAGATCAGGCATGAGTCACCAGAGCCATCTTGATATATAACATCTTAATGGAAAAATAAAGATGGCAGAAGATTTTGGAAGAAAACTCTACACTGAAATAAATTATCTTTTTATCGTTCATGTATACAGACTTCAAGGTGCCAGGAGATTCTAACCGAGAAGTATTTACTGAGTGAAGAGAAGTAAGGAGGTAGGTTAAAAAAGCACACGAGTTTGTTAGTACATTTAGAACTGGACACCAATGACTCACGCCTGTAATCCTAGCTACTCAGGAGGCTGAAATCTGAGGATCAAGGTTCAAAACCAGCTAAGGCAGACAAATCTGAGACATATCACCAATTAACCAGCAAAGCAGAGGTGTGGCTCCTGTGGTAGACACCAGCCTTGTGAGAAAAAGCCAAGAGAGCCCAAGGCCCTGAGTTCAAGCCCCAATACAGGAGAGGAGGGGAGGGGAGGGGGGAAAGGAGGGGGACCCATGTCTAGATACTTCATTAACCGTGGGCGACATTACATGGTTTTTGACATTAGCTATCATTCAATAAATGATCACAAAGAAATAATTAGGAAAAAATAGACCAAATACAATATAGCTGAAAAAATAAAGACCTAAAAACTTATCACTGAAGTTTGTGAATTTGCAGTAGGCATGGAGCACAAAAATGTCAAACTGGCTTCATCTACATGCTCACTTTGGTGGCTATCAGTTTAAAGGAAGCTCCAAAACCCCGTTCAATAGGGAAGTTCTAGCACCAACCAGCAATGTCCTCTAGGATAGAAAAGGGCAGAAAAACTACAGCATGCACGATACACTGTTACCTTTCTAGCCTAGAATGTTCAAAACAAATTATGCTAACAGAGACGATACATTCAGAAGTGTAAGATAGAGTCTTCCTTTAATGAGTTTACAAGCTCTCCAAGGAAACAGTGTACAATGCACACATTTAAATACTACAGATGACTAAATGATTTTTACTTCTTGAAAATTGTTCCTCTAAAATCCATTAAACTGGGTCAGGTGCACAGCTGGGTATTGCTGATTCATGCCTGCAACCTTAGCTACTCAGGAGCTGAGGTATGGACGAGCAACGTTTGAAGCCAGCTCAGGCAGAAAATGATGAGCCTTCATCTCTAGCCAGCAAAAATAACAAAACTGGTAGCTCAAGTGGTAAGAGCATACCTGAGCAACCAGAGCAAGCAATCTGAGGAAGGCCTTTAATTCAAACCCAGTACCACACAAAAAGGTAGGGAGAAGATCAGGTGCCAGTGGCTCACACCTCACTCCAGTTTTCCTAGGTACTTATGGGGTTAAGATGGATGGACCACAATTTGAGCCAACCTAGGCAGAAGAGTCCATGAGACTCCATCTAAGGAAGAAATTAGGCATGGCAGAAAATGCCTGTCTTCCTAGTGACAGTGCAAGGTGAGTAATAGGAAGATTATTGGCCAGGTGCACTGCCAGGCAGGAAGCAAGAATTTACTGAAAATAATTAGTGCAAAAAAGGGCTGGCAACATAACTCAATGATAGAGCACTGCTAGCAAGCTCACGGCTCTGAATTCAAACCCCCAGTATCACTAATATTAATACACTGAAAAAAAACAAAGCAAATCCATCTAGGGTCATGACTCAAGTGGTAGAGCACCTAGCAAATGTGAGTCCCTAAGTTAAAAGCCTGGTACCACCAAGACAAAAAAAAAGAAAGCATAAACAAGAGTACCCGAAGTTCCTACTGAGGGGGATGAAAGGAAAAGAATGTGATTTGATGGGCTTCACCCCACCTCCAATACTAAGATTTGACACTGTGCCAAATTACTTTCCAAAATTGTAGTTAACATCAAGAAATTCTACAAAAATGTCTTAGAAACTCTTTTTCTTAAAAAGGCCTGAGCCACAAAGCAGAGCTAAGAATGATCACAGTTTATGGCCAGACTTGACAAAACAGTTAACAAGTGACACTTCAACCAATAAAGCCAGATATAGTGGTATATGCTTGTCATGCTAGTTGGCAGGAGATTTGAGGACAAAAAAGGGAAAACCTCAAGTAGGCGAGCGCCGGCATAGTAAGCAAGACGCTCTGAGTTGAACCCCCCCCCCAAAGTATCATTAAAAAGAACTGTTTCTGGGATTTGATATATAATTAAAAGTTTCTCAAACTAATGTCAAGTGTTATTTAACATGAAAGCCATAAAGACCTATTACTGAATGAGAAATAAAAATGCTTCATGTAATAAAATTACATGACCAGAGTTTAATTCCTGAGCACAACTTCCTACATGGCTAGCAAACAGGATTAAAGTATCAGACAAAAATGAGACAAGGAAGACAATAGTTGTATATCTTGCCAATACTTGCCAGATCTTAAAATGTATTAAAAGACTCCAGATCTTTAATTCTAGAATATCTAATCTCAGCCAGTATTAGATCTAAACAAATTCAGCATTGATGTCATCCATTTACAAGTCAATAAATACCAATAACGTACTGACACTAGAAATTAAGTCTGCAGAGAAACCCACTGAAAAATAGAAGTGGATCTTCTTCCAGAAGCTCCATGACCACACAAAGTCAGCCGAGAAAACAAGCCAACCTGAAAACCAGTAAGGAAACACACAAATCTAGACTGGAGCTCCAAACTTCATTAGGGATTCCAAGAATTCAATATCATACATAAAAACTTCATACATGAGAGATTGTAACCATTATTCTGCAGCTTTAGCATTTTAGAACAAGATAAAGTAGGGAGAGATGAAAAAAAAAGAAACATTTGCTGCTGACCATGAAGGAAATGAAAGCAAAGATTCCTCAAGTTGTTTTTATAGAAAAGATCAGACTGACCCAACACCAAACAATGAATTTATAGTTGGAGAAACAGAAAGGAGACAGGGCCTTTCTTCTAACACAATTCTTGTGTCTTTTCTACTTAAAAACAAAAAAAAAAAGCTGGACTGGGAAGGTGGCTCAGTGGTAGAGCGCTTGGCATGAGGCCCTAGGTTCAATTCCTCAGCACCATATAAGAAAAAAGAAAAAAGCCGGAAGTGGTGCCGCGGCTCAAGTGGTAGAGTGCTCGCCTTGAGCTGAAGAGCTGAGGGACAGCGCCCAGGCCCAGAGTTCAGGCCCCACGACCCACAACAAACAAAACAAAACGAAACCTGGCACATAGACCAAGGGCATTACCTCAGTTACTTTCCTTTCTACTTCTGTTCCATCCACGTAATACACGTCTGTGATAACACGGGTGACAAGCGTGCGCACTTCGCGGATTGTTCTCATGTGACGGTGCAAGACATGTCCGTGCGGAGGCTGAGGCATATCAAACTCTTCTTCTCCCTGTGACAGACAGAAGATACAGAAGAGCAGGTCCCACTAAATGATCAGAGCCACACATCAGCTGCTTTTTTGTCTGTTTCTGAGGGGGTAACTAGGCTTGAACTCAGGGGTCTCACTCTTGTTTGGCTTTTTCATTCAAGACTGGAACTCTACCACTTTTGAGCCACAGGACTAGTTCCAGGTTTTTGTTGGTTAATTGGAGATAAGAATCTCTCAGACTTTTCTGTCAAACTGGTTTTGAACCAAAATCCTCCGATTTCAGCCTTCTGAGTAGCTGTTGAGGATTTACAAATCGAGTGTGATGACATTTTCCAGGTGTTTTGTTTTCTACTGGCTTGCAGATGAACTCAGCTATATAATAGGAAACCATTATGTAGCCAGAGATTAGGAGGTATCTATGTCAGCATGACTTGCCTTGACATGATATAGATCTAAAGCAAAACCACATATACCACTCATATCAAAGGATATTTAAGTGAATCTTTGATAGCTGAAAGTGCATAATTTTTTTTTGGGAGGGGGGTGTCAGTCGTGGGGCTTGAACTCTGGGCCTGGGCGCTGTCCCTGCGCTCTTCAGCTCACGGCGAGCGCTCTACCGCTTGAGCCACAGCACCACTTCCTGAAAGTGCATAATTTTAAAATTATAATTCTACTTTTTTTCTTGCCAGTATTGGGCTTCTAATTTTGGAGGGAGGGGCAATACCGAGTAGCCGTTCTAATTTTGATGACTTATCAGTGAGTATTAATTTTACATTTGTAACCATTCTTTAGAAAAGTAGAAATAGCTGGGCAGCTGGTGCTCACACCTATAATCCTAGCTACTCAAGAGACTTGAGAGCTGAGGATCACAGTTCATTCAAAGCCAGATAGGAATGTCAGTGAGACTCATCTCCAATTAACCATCAGAAAATCAGAAGTGGCGCCGTGGCTCAAGTGGCAGAGTGCTTACCTTGAGCTTAAGAGCTCAGAACAGTGCTCAGGCCCACAGTTCAAGCCTGAGGACAAAAAAAAAAAGGAAAAAAGAAAAATGTAGGAATTTGTTAGTCCAAATCTCAGCCAGTCTGTTTTCTATGTATTAGTAGCTGAAAAATCACAATTTATATAGGCTATGTGCCACTTTTAAGCATAGAGTGCTATAACATTTGAGTATATTCACAATGCAAACAATGTGAATCCTACTAACAGCCATCTCTAGAACTTTATCATTCCCAAATAAATCCTATACCCATCCAAAAATATCTATTATTCTAGCACTTCTAGCAGGAACAGCTAGCTCTTAGTTATTTTACACTGTCTAAAACTGGTATGTAGGGTCACCATAAGTTGTAGAAGTTCAGTAGTACTAGTAATTATAGTAAGAGCAATAATAAATAGGAGATCCTGTACCTGAAGGTATGGGTCCAAGGACCCCACTGAGAAAAGCCTGCGCCTGCTCAGAATGCCTAAAGCTCAGCACAGTTCTGGAATGCTTCATCCATTTCCTGCATTAGACTGCCTACTTCCCTTCCATACACACCATCTTTAACAAATGTAAGCTTTTCACTTTACCATTTAAATTAAGCACTTTAACTTAATGTTTACCTGGCTTTATAAAAGGCTTATTTTCACAAAATTAAGGGCAGGAAAACACTGAAGACAACACTGGTAACAGGAGACTGAATGAGAGAGCCTCTCTCATAACCCAACTGCAGATTGCACATGTAAGAATTTAAATATTTTGTTCTTGAAACATCTTGATTTCATTAAAATGTATTACTTTTTCTGATCATGCTTGGTCCAAACCATGTATGTCTATAGGATTGGCTCAAGTGGTAGAGCATGTACCTAGCAAGTGCAATATCCTGAACTTAAAATACCCAAGTAAATAAATAAAAGCATGTATGAATCCATGATACACAGGGCCTTCAGCCAAACTCAGTACTGAGCGTCTGGAGGCCTTGTGTCTTAATCTTCACATCTTAATGAAGGAGTGACCTCACAGCCAGGGTCTTACTACAAGTGTTCGCTGCCTCTTATCATTGTCGTGAGATTGAACACAGATAACTTCCCTTTCTGACAGATGGAGAATATGAAGAGATAAAGGATGGGGCTGGGAAGGTGGCTCAGTGATGAGAGCGCTTGCCTCCCCTGCACGAGGCCCTGGGTTTGATTCCTCAGCACCACATAAACAGAAAAAGCCGGAAGTGGCGCTGTGGCTCAGGTGGTAGAGCATCAGCCTTGAGCTGAAGAGCTGAGGGACAGCGCCCAGGCCCAGAGTTCAAGCCCCACTACCGACAAAAAAAAAAAAGATAAAGGACAATAACATCTAGTGGCTCTCATATGATTTCTACATTTAATTCTCTACACAAAGGCAGATAAAGCCAATTATTATATGGAATACAAATATTTTAAAAATGGAAAGAAACAGAAGCAAAGTAGAGCTTAGTTTAGCTGAGAAACTTAGCTCTTAGCTCTCAGAGACTGTTACTCTAGTGGCTCACTCTTGTAATCCTAGCTACTCAGGAGGCTGACACCTAAAGGACTGAAGTTTCAATCAGCCCTGGCAGAAAAAGTCTGAGACTAATCTCAAATGAACCAACAAAATACCAGACTGGAAGCATGGCTCAAGTGGTAAAGCACCATCCAAGAAAGTCATGCAAGAATACAAGGCTAGATACTGGGAAGAAAAAAGTGAGAGAGATTGAGAGAGAACAAGAGGGGAGGGAGAGCAAGGGGGAGAGAGGAGAGAAAGATGAGAGAAGAAGGGAAAGAAAAAAGGGGGGGAGAGAAGAAAGGGAGGCAGAAGGAAAGAAGAGGAGTGATGGAGAGAGGGAAGAAAGGAGGGAAGGAGGGAGGGAGGGAGGAAGAAGAGGAGAAATAAGAAGCAACAAACTAAACAAGTCAGATTTAAAAACAAAGACTCGCTGGGATCCCATTCCAGGTCTGCCACTAGTGACGGCAAATCCTTTTTTTAATCGCCCTTGAGTCTGGCCCTCGGGTTGGGTTTTAAGCAAACTGACAGCATATTCTAAGCTAAACATTCAATGAAACTCCACATTTGATAAACAGACAATCTGGACAATCAGAACACAAGATTTCCTAAGCTGATGGTAGCAAAAGTGGTCTAACTAGAGCAGCTGAAAGGCTGTGTAGCCAACTAACACCTTCCAAAATCGCCCTGCCAGGGACTTGAACATCACCCATGACATTTTGCAAACTGGCACTTACTTGTAAACACCTTTTTGCCTTTTGTTTTGGTTGCTTTTTTGTTTTGTCTGGGCTCAAACCCACAATCCTGATGTCTTAGCCTCCCCCGCTCCACATTATAGTCAGGCACCACCATGCCTGGCTTAACACGGACATCCCTCCCCTCACCACTACTCCATTTTCACTAAGACCAATCCTTTCCCACTCTATCCCCAAACCTGGTCTTCCGCTAGCCTCATTTTCACCAGTCCTGGCCTCTCTTTAGTGGCTTCCCATCTCCTTAGGCCTTTTCTCACCCATTCTTATCACTGTTCTTTCTGGCTCAGCACTGTGACACACTGTCGTCATATGCTTCTCCTATTCCTTTACTTTCTGATGCCATGGTGAAATGATTTGGGGAAAAAGAACAGAAAGCAGAGTAAGAATAACAGAAAGGAAAGACTTAATGTTCAAGAATATTATACAACCCAGACTGTACCCCTGGCTCTCTTTTCCAGTGAAGGCCTACTTGACAGACTAGCTCTATTCCACTTTACAGCTAACTATACTTTTCACTACCTTATCTCTGTCCTAGACAAACCCCATAGTCTTTTTTTTTTTGGGGGGGGGGTCTGGTCGTGGGGCCTGAACTCTGGGCCTGGGCGCTGTCCCTCAGCTCTTCAGCTCAAGGCTAGCGCTCTACCACCTGAGCCACAGCGCCACTTCCGGCTTTTTCCTTTTTGCTTATGTGGTGCTGAGGAATCGAACCCAGGGCCTCATGCATGCAGGGCAAGCGCTCTACCACTGAGCCACCTTCCCAGCCCTCCATAGGCTTAACTACTATCCTACCCAAAAATGTTAAAAGTTGTCATTAGTGCTGGGCCCTGGTGGCTCACACTTGTATCCTTGCTTCTCAGCAGGCTGAAATGTAAGGATTGTAGTTCAAAGCGGGACTGGACAGAACAGTCCATGAGACTCTTCTCTAATTAATCACCAGCAAACAAGAAGGAAAACTGTGAGTCAAAGTGGTAGAGTGCTAGCCTTAAGCAAAATTGCTCAGGGACAGCGTTTATGCCCAGAGTTCAAAACGCACAACCAATCCAAAAAACAAGTTGCCACTGAAAGTTCTACAACTTCAATTCTCTAATAATTCACACAGTCAAAAGCAAGGCCTCAGGCCAGGTGCCGGTGGCTCACGCCTGTAATCCTACTCAGGAGGCTGAGATCTGAGGATCACGGTTCAAAGCCAACCCAGGCAGGAAAGTCCATGAAACACTTATCTCCAATAAACCACAAGAAAACTGGAAGTGGCACTGTGGCTCAAGTGGTAGAGCTCTAGCCTTGAGCTGAAGAGCTGAGGGACAGTGTACAGGCCCAGAGCTCAAGCCCCACGACCAATCAAAAAAACAAAAAAGCAAGGGCTCTGAGCACCCTAGTCCATCCTCACCTGACTATGGAGAGACTCTGTTTCATCTCCAGGAGCACTGGCTGGTTTCTCACCAGTCCCCCTCTCAGTCTGTACGGTGGCATCTTGTTTTCCCGAGTTCTGGTCCACTGTACTGGTCCCTTGCTCACAGACATTCTTTACAGTCTGAGTTGCTGCTGAAACAGTTTCTGGGGCAAACAGGCAATGTTCCACAGTCTGGATTCCTATGTTATTTTGGGCAGGCCTTTCAATCAAGACCTTACTGGGTTTTTCCTGATTGACACTCCATCCTTCTCCGTGGCCTTCTCGCACATCTGTCTCCATCGCTTCTCCTCCAGGGCTGGCTGGCTCGTGCGCGGCTCTCTGGTGTGGAGCGGCAGCAGCAGGAGCCTTGACAGAACCGATGGGCCCCACAGGCTGCTCACTCTGCCTGGTCCTTTGGTCACCATCCAATTTCTTTTTCTCCTCTTCCTGAGTACTAGGAAAATCAAGGTAGTTCCCCCTGAAAATAAAACAGAAAGAAACTGTGTTTGATTTTTTCATATGGCTTGTCTCCTTAGAAACTCATGTTAGAACTTCATTTCAGAGCTAGGCGCAGTGATGCACACCTATAATTTTAGCACTCAAAGAGACCAGAGGGTGAATTCAAGGACAACCTGGGTTATGCAGCAAATTCTGTTTCACAAAAATATACCAAAGCCATCATTGTGCTGCTGAAGTATTAAAAAAGTAACAGCTAAATCCAACTACAGTACTTTCAAGTTGAGAGCTTTGGGAGGTAATTAAGATCAGGTAAGGTAATCAACATTCTGTAAGAAGAAAAATCAAGCCGGGCGCTGGTGGCTCATGCCTGTAATCCTAGCTACAAGGGAAAGCCTATTTTGACAATTTTAGTAACAAAAGAATGAAGAGGCTCAAGGACAGCCTAGGCAGCACAGGGTAAGAGCCAATCCCAGCCAGGTATCAGTGGCTCACGTCACTGATTCTAGCTACTCAGGAGGCTGAGATCTGAGGATCTCAATTCAAAGCCTGCCCAGGCAGGAAAGTCCTAGAGACTCTTATCTTCAATAGCCCACTCAGAACATGAGAAGTGGCGCTGTGGCTCAAGTGGTAGAGCGCTAGCCTTGAGCTGAAGAGCTGAGGACAGCACCCAGGCCCAGAGTTCAGGCCCCACAACCAACCAAAAACTAAAGACCCCAGCTCAAAAAAACAAAAACTAAACTCACACAACAATAGTAATATATATAAGGAATGGACACAGTCCAAAGGCAGCAGCCGTGCCGTGCTTACCCAGCGGGCGCAGCACAGCCCTCCTCACCTCCAGCCTCATCCGCTCGCTGGGCTTCACGGATGCAGCTCAACACTGACATAGTCTTCTGGGGACTAAGGTAATACAGTAGAGCGATGCATCATGTTAGTGTTGAAGGGAAACGTACCTCTTGAGATTATCTTTTTAGAGAAAAAAAGGAATCCTTCCTCTGCAGCTTAATCTCCAAACTACCTTAGACTAAACTGCCACGTCATCATATATGTTTCAAACAAATACAACAAAAAACCATTCAAGGAAAGTCACTGGATACAAGGTAGGCAGAGAACTACATTAAATACTAGAAAGACATAGTCAGCAAAGCCCAGACTGTAGAAAACTACACAGCAAACTAACCTAGTTCCTTCCATAGACAATTTGCAAGAGAGGGCAGAAAAAGAGGGACTGATATGCTATAATTTCAAAAGACAAGTCAAAGCCAGGCACTGATGGCTTCTGGCTGGAATCCTAGCTACTCTGGAGTCTGAGATCTGAGGATCACGGTTTGAAGCCAGCCTGGACACAAAAGTCTCTATGAGATGTTTATCCCCAATTTATCACTCAAAACACAAAGTGGGCAGGGCACTGGTCGCTCACACCTGTAATCCTGACTACTCAGGAGGCTGAGATCTGAGGACCGTGGTTCAAAGTCAGCCCAGGAAGGAAAGTCCATGAGCCGAGAAGTGGTTGCTGTGGCTCAAGTGGTAGAGAGCTAACCTTGAGCTGAAGAACTGAGGGATAGTGTCTAAGCCCAGAGTTCAAGCCCCATGACTGACAAAAAAAAAAAAACCAAACCACTGGAAATGGAGCTGTGGCTCAAGTAGTAGAGCATTCTCCTTGAGCAAAAAGCAGCTCAGGAACAGCACCCAGACCCAGAGTTCAAGCCCTAAGACCAGCAAATAAACAAATGAAATAATAACCAGCACAATAAAAGAACTAAAGGCATGACTCAGCAGTAAACCACCTGTCTAGCAAATACAAGGTCCTGAGTTCAAATCCCAGTGCTGCCAAAACAAGTCCACGCAGCAAATAATCTAAGACATAGAACACATCACAGGATTATGTAAGGGATCAGAAATCACAAATCAGGGTCAAGTATTTTTATGACCTGAGAGCAAGCCAATCCATCTAGGCATGATTAAAAGTGACAAAGGAAGTTTTAATTACACTATGTGCACTAGAAAAGGGGTCCTGCAACTACCTTGTCCTGGGCTAGCTACCTAGAACCAAGAGCAGCCTTGGCCTCCAAGCCTCCAAGCAGCAGCCTCGACCTTAATTAGTCAGTTTGCAAACCTCAGTCTTAAAAACCTCCAACCTAGCGGGGCGCTGGTGGCTCACATCAGTAATCCTAGCTACTCAGGAGGCTGATATCTGAGGATCACAGTTCAAAGTCAGCCCGGGCAGGAAAGGCCATGAGACTCATCTCCAATAAACTACTCAGAAAACTGGAAATGGTGCTGTGTGGCTCAAGTGGTAGAGCGCTAGCCTTGAGCTGAAGAGCTGGGGGACAGCGCCCAGGCCCAGAGTTCAGGCCCCACAACTGACCAAAAAAAAAAACCCCTCCAATCCCAGACCTCCAAAGCTCCAAAGGGGAAGGCTTTTCCTTCCTTCCTCTTCCTCTGCAGGCCTCTCCACTCTCCAAAGGCCGCCCCCGCTCTGCTGGGGAGGCGCCTCTCCACTCTGCCCTGGCAGAGGCCTCAGGCCTCTCCACAGGCTGCTCTGCTTTGGGGCTCTGGTTGGTGCCTCTTGCCCTCTTTCTCCCCACCATGTCTCTCCAGCACCCCGCCCCTCAGAACACGCAGCCTATATATAGGCTCTGCTCCTCCCCTACTCCAACGGCTCTAACGGCTTCAACGGCCACTCCCCTTCCAAGCTGTCCACTGCCCATCGTTTTTTTTTGGTCGGTGATGGGTCTTGAACTGAGGACCTGGGCACTGTCCCTCAGCGCTTAAGCTCAAGGCGAGTGCTCTACAATTTGAACCACAGTACCACTTCGGGTTTTCTAATGGTTTACTGGAGATAAAAGTGTCTCACGGACTTTCTTGCCCGGGCTGGCTTTGAACCGTGAACCTCATGATCTCAGCTTCCTGAGTAGCCAGGATTATAAGCATGAGCCACGGGCGCCTGGCTTACAACCCATTCTTGACGGCTGTGGCCAGCTCACCCCGTGGGGCGGTGCATCAGCCTCTTGGTGTCCTGCGCCCTCCCGTCGAATGGTCCACAGAGCGGGTCCCGCTGCTTGTTTGTCCTCAAACTATTTTGCTTTTTTTTTTTTTTGATCATCATGGGGCCTGAACTCTGGGCCTGAGCGCTGTCCCTCAGCTCTTCAGCTCAAAGCTACCGCTCTACCACTTGAGCCACAGTGCTACTTCCGGCTTTTTCTGCTTATGTAGTACTGAGGACTCGAACCCAGGGCCTCATGCGTTGGAGGTAAGAACTCTACCACTGAGCCACCTTCCCAGACCCACGCTTTAATTTTTAAATATCCATATTTCTCTTTAAAACACTGGAAGATTGAGAACAGTAAATTTGCATTAGCAAGTGACAACCATTGGCAATGTAGCTGAGCACCCTTTTAAGTGGGACACACTTTCAGTCCAGCACCCTCAACACTCCAGCAGTTGTATACCTACTCTGCCCTACCGATTTAGGGTAGGTGCCTCATATCTGATTTATCAATCCTCACCTATGCTTCACCAACTCCTGCAGCGAATTTTATGCAAGTGACTCATGCCAGAAACAAATGACAACTGTATTCTCAGACAGTAGATGGCAAAGCTTCACCAACAGGGTTACATTTTACTGGGAGCAATACAGCAATCACAACAGCTTAATAGAGTAGCTAGTTTGGCAAGAGAGAAAATGGCCGGCGGCTGTGGCTGAGTATGGAAGTACAGAAGGAACATGTCTACAGCTATCCCTTCCCTCTTCAATTTTTTTCCTCACCACTGGCAACAGAAAAAGAGCAGCAAAAGAGGAAAAGCCTTTACATACCTTAAATCTAACAAAAGCATTGTTGTCTTAAAATTAAGAAAGCATATGATCAAATTCAACACACTGCTACAATCATTAAGTTGAATTTCACTTTTTCATCTGGAGATATATCAGCCCCTCCTCATTACCAGCAGCTTTGTACTGAAGCTCTCCAAATAGCAACCAGCTCCAGTTACCTGGCAACAGCCTCAGCAAGAGCAGCAGATCCATTTTTTCTTTCACTAGTTACTGGCTCTGAATAAAAACAAATGCAAGGAGAGAAACAAAAGAGAAATATAATTCATACCTAAGAACCTTTATCCTGCTCAACTAATATTTGAAACAAATTACAAAAAGACAGAAATAAAACTAATAAATGAACATAAACGATGCCTTATCACTTAATAGCACACATGTTGTTCATTCGCACCAATTCTTTCAAAATTTCTATACAAAATCATTTGACAACAAATACAATGCAATGAATTATTAAACTAACATGTTCAAATAAAAATTAAGCCATCTGAATTAAAATTCATCTTCCTTCACATAGAAATTATATATGAAAAAATTAAAACTTCAAATAAATTGAAAATTATAATCCCCCCCACCAAAAAAAAAAAAAAACCACTTGCTAGGCATGGGTGACTTATGTCTGTAATCCTAGCTTCTCAGGAGGCTGAGATCTGAAAATAAAAGTTCAAAGCCAGCCTGGGGACTAAGAACATGGCTTAGTAGTAGAGTACTTGCTTCCTGGGTTTGATTTCTAAGTACCACATAACCAGAAAAAGCCAGAAGTAACACTTGGTTCAAGTGGTAGAGTGCTAGCCTTGAGCCAAAGCAGCTCAGGAACAGTGCCCAGGCCCTGAGTTCAAGCACCAAGACTGGCAAAAAAAAAAAAAGGGGGGGGGCTGGGAAGGTGGCTCAGTGGTAGAGCGCTTGCCTTGCATGCTCGAGGCCCTGGGTTCGATTCCTCAGCACCACATAAGCTAAAAGAAAAAAGCCAGAAGTGGCGCTGTGGCTCAAGTGGTAGAGCGTTAGCCTTGAGCTGAGGGACAGCGCTCAGCCCTAGAGTTCAGGCCCCACGACCGGACCCAAAAAAAAAAAAAAAAAAAGACAGCCCAGGCAGGAAAGTCTATGAGATGCATCTCCAATTAAGTACACATACAAAAAAAGAAGTGGATATGTTGCTCAAATAGTAGAGTGCTAGTCTTAAGCCAAAAAAAAGACAACTCTGGGAAAGCATGTAGGCCCTGAGTTCAAGCCCCAGGACCCACACACACGAAGAAAAACTCAAAATCTATTAGACTGATGTACAGATTTAGAGTGCTATTTTAGGGATATCTGCAAATAGAAGGTACTTCCAAAATACTCAGAACAGGTAAGTGAAAGGCATTTCCAAGAAAAAAACTGCAGCAAAGGCTTAAAGATGCTACTGAAAAGAAGCCCATACTTTCACAGAATGTCACCAAATATGTCAAGGGATTGAAATTTGCTTTTAAACATTTCTAAAATATTCATGACTTAATATGATCTCAGCAGTCCATATAGGAGTCAGCTGAAGTTCAGAGGAGAGGGTCCTGGCCTATACAGAGAAACGTGGCTCTGGCCCAGGCTCCTGAACTTGTAAGTCCAAAAATGACTTTGTTATTTCTGAGTCTGTTTCCTCATGTAGAAGAGAAAACAAGACCAACTTCACGGTTTTTCTTTTTCTTTTTTTTTTGGGGGGTCCGGTCATGGGCCTGAACTCTGAGCCTGGGCGCTGTCCCTCAGCTCTTCAGCTCAAGGCTAGCACTCTACCACTTGAGCCACAGCGCCACTTCCGGCTTTTTTCTTTTTACTTATGTAGCGCTGAGGAATCGAACTCAGGGCATCAGGCATGCAAGACAAGCGCTGTACCACTGAGCCACCTTCCCAGCCCAAAGACACAAAGATTTAACATAACTGATCCTTTTTGTTTTTTTTTTGTTTTCTTTTGCTTTTGGTGGTGGTGGGGCTTAAACTCTGGGCCTAGGTGCTGTCCCTCAGCTTTTCAGCTCTACCACTTGAACCACACTTCCAGTTTTCTGGTAGTTTATTGGAGGTAAGTCTTACGGACTTTCCTGCCCTGGCTGATCCTTAGCCTTCAGCCTCCTGAGTAACTAGGATTATAGGCGTGAGCCACTGGCACCCAGCACTACTTCTGTATTCTACCACATGAAACAACCTGAAATTCATACTAAAGTAGTAAACACACATTCATAATGTAAACTCATAATCCTACATTCCCTGCTATCTCAATGCTTTCTGAATATGAAAAGCAATTACTTAACAGAAATACCAGTTTAACAGAGGTATAAACAACATAATCTATAAGATGAGGCATCTTCAGTAACACATCACAGTAAACAGGGACTAACTGAAGAATGAAATCTTGTAAGACTTTACAAAAAAAAATTTATAATTACAAATATAGCAATCATTACACAGAAGATAATTAATACTTCCCCAGTTGATCTAGAGCTAGTAGTTACCCAATATTAATATAAAAGAAAACTTACTTTCCAGACTAAACTGCAAAGACTCTTCACTTGCCTCTGTCTCAGGACTAACCAGTTTCATTCTTAGACAGAGTTTATCATCCATTTCTGGGACAGACCCAGAATCCCCTTTTTCACTTGTAAGTATGGGATCGTTGGTCTCCACCATGCTTTCAGACATAACATCACTGGTTGCTATGGTGCTTTCTGGATAGTTGCTAATATCTGAAAGAAGGGAAGCAAGAAGGAAGAACGAACACTAAATTACAGAAATAAAAAGCAGCATTATCAAAGTCATCAATTTGCCTGTATGACTCCACCACTCTGCAGTACTAAAGGGAGTTCCTAGGATAGATCCTGTCACAAGTATCAACAACTAAGAACTAGTATTGACACCTGGTCTTAAGAGGAGCAACAGGATTCAGTTCCACTTCTGCATCTGGACAAAGGATGCTCCATGAGCCCTCAGCCAAGCCACATCTGCCAGCATCAGGCAAAGGTAGCAGGAGACTCCAGACGGCATGACTGTTACCTCCCAGCACTGACTAGAGAAAACAAATAGGTTAATGTAGAAGTCTACTGGCTGATTCAGAGGAGGAGGAGCTAAGTTTTTCTTGCCCTGTCAAGCCGCAGACTGATTAGCTAGGGGAATGAATAAATAGTACTTATATCCAACTTTCTTTCTTATAGTACAGTTCTTTATCACTACCCACTACTCATTTTATTACTTTGCAAGTAACAAGCTAAAATTCTTATACTTTCCCTCTTCCTTCCCTCCACCCTTTCTTTCCTTCCTCTCAATACCTGTCATGTCCTGGGAGTAAAAAATCTCTGAATCAAATACCATGGCACCAGTCTTCAAAACAAAAACCTTATCAGTGAGTCAGACCCAACTCTTCAGAGCTAAAACTATCACCTGCATAAAGAATGATATCTTGGAAATCCACTTTTTTTTCAATTCACTCACCAATAGGAGTACTATGTCTCTTGGGCTCCAATTTTAGGTGCCCAATAAGAGGTGGGGTTGCGCCAGTCAATGGTGGAATAATATCACCTTCTTTAGGCAAAGTAAAATGAAATGGGGTTTCTGAAACAAATGAACAAAAACAAAATAAACAAAAAGCAAACTCAGAAATACAAACAGAAGTGTAAAATAAGCAAAAATGAGGAAAACCGAAAAAAAAAATTCTCTTTGCTCCAAACCTCTTATTCCTATGACTTTAACCACGCCTCCAAACCAACACCCTACTCTTGTTCTGCTTTCTTTACAGCCATCAATAACAGGACTGACAAAAGAAATGACCAGAGCACAACCAAAGGATACCCCAACATTTGGAGAGCCTGAGAAACTCAGGTCTGCAGTGAGACAGTACATTGGAAAGAGAAATATAAACTTAGATTCTTTCAAGTCTAGGTAGTATTTGGTATTTACCACTGTTAACCTGTCTTGAAGTCTACAGGAGTCTCCAAAAGTTTAATTATTAATACTTACAATTTGCAACCTACTCAAAGAGCACAATGTATCTCACAGGTCAAAGAACTTCAGACTATTCTTTCAGAAATATACAGATTTTTTTTTTGGGGGGGGGGGGTCCAGGCCTGGGCGCTGTTCCTCAGCTCTTCAGCTCAAGGTTAGCGCTCTACCACTTGAGCCACAGTGCAATTTCTGGCTTTTTTTTTCCTGCTTATGTGGTGCTGAGGAATTGAACCCAGGGCCTCATGCATGCAAGGCAAGCACTTTAACCACTGAGCCACCTTCCCAGCCCCAGAAATACAAAGATTTCTGGGGTCAGCAGTACTCATCAACACTCACTCTAGTTGCCAAAGTAGTAAATGTTCATATCTCAATTTTTGTACAATAATAAAGCCCACACTTAAAGCATTCTGAGCATATACATTTAGTTGTTATTAAATTATTACAAGCATTAAAAACATCTGATTAAAAAAATGTCAAGGGCTGGGAATGTGGCTTGCCTAACATACATGAAGCCCAAAATTCAATTCCTCATTACCTCATACACAGAAAAAGCCAGAAGTGGCGCTGTGGCTCAAGTGGTAGAGCTCTAACCTTGAGTAAAAGAAAGCTCAGGGACAGTGCCCAGGCCTTAAGTTCAAGGACTTGGGGGGGGGGGGGGGGGGGGGGGGGAGGGGGGGAGAGGAGAAGAAGACGAGCAGAGAATCAAGACATGAGTAAAATTTTGTTGTCATTGGTTGTGGGGCTTAAAATCAGGGCCTAGACACTGTCCCTAAGCTTTTACTCTCAAGGCTAGTGTTCTACCACTTTGAGCCACAACTCTACTTCTGGTTTTCTGGTGGTTAATTGGAGTTAGGAGTCTCCTGGACTTTTTCCTGCTGGGAAAAAGTGGGCTGGCTTCAAACTGTGATCCTCTGATCTCAATCTCCTAAAGTAGCTAAAATTACAGGCATGAGCCACCAGTACCCAGCATGACTTTTTTTTTTTTTTTTGGTCCGGTCGTGGGGCCTGAACTCTGGGCCTGGGCACTGTCCCTCAGCTCTTCAGCTGAAAGCTAGAGTTCTACCACTTGAGCCACAGCGCCACTTCCGGCTTTTTTGTTTTTGCTTATGTGGTGCTGAGAGGAATCGAACCCAGGGCCTCAGGCATGCAAGGCAAGCACTTTAACCACTGAGCCACCTTCCCAGCCCCCAGCATGACTTTTAACTAGGTCACAGTTCCAAATTCTTGGTAACTAGAATTAATAAATGGCTAAGGTCACATTTTCTGGTTTCCTAATTATTATCTCTTTTAAGTAAAATGAAAATGTCTGAGAGAAACTACAATGTTTCTGCACCGCAAAGGACACAGCTACTAAACTAAAAAGATAGCCAACATACTGGGTGAAGATCTTTACCAGCAATATATCCAACAAGGGCCTAATAAATCCAAAGTACACAAGGAACACAAGAAACTAACACCAGCTAGCATTGAGGACTCACACCTGTAATCCTAGCTACTCAGGAGGCTGAGATCTGAGGATCACAGTTCAAAGCCAGCACAGGCAAGAAAGTCCTTGAAACTCATCTCCAAATAAGCACCAAAAAGGCCAAAAGTAGGCTCAAGTGGTAAAGCACTAGCCTTGAACAAAAAAAAAGTTAGGGACAGTGCCTAAGCCCTGATTTTAAGCCCCAGGAACAGCACAAAAACAAAATAAAAAGTCTTTAGAAATAAAGTATGAAAATAAATCAACTTAGCTAAAGAAACTTTAAAGAGTATAAAAGGAGGGCTGGGAAGGTGGCTCAGTGATAAGAGTGCTTGCCTTGCATCCATAAGGCTCTGGGTTCAATTCCTCAGTACCACATAAGTAGAAAAAGCTGGAAGTGGTGCTGTGGCTCAAGTGGTAGAGCACTCGCCTTGAGCTGAAGAGCTGAGGGACAGCGCCCAGGCCTAGAGTCCAAGCCCCACG